TGGTTGCTGTCTGCTTCAATTTGCCACAGCACACTGATGCCAGTTGAACCTCTAGCGTACATTATAACTCTATGGGTGATTCTATGGCTCGGTCTTTGAATTACCTGATCTGAGATCTTTTCATCACGCTATGGGGGGAAAATTTTCCCTAGGGACAGATTGAAGCACCAGAGACATGATACCGGCGTTGGGATTCAACCAGTCAGATCGCGGGAAGGGCTGAAAGGATGGAGCTTGTGTTCGAAGAAGCCACCGTTGAGAAAGTCGCCGGATGTAACTTGTCTTCCATGAAGCCCCACATACTCCTCGAAAAGGCAGACAATTGGACATGCCATCTATGTTTGAGAGACCTAGGGGTCATATTTCAGTATAGTCGAGACACCACATAAAAAATGCTACCAATGTTTTAAATTTTTTTTTGTTCGAACAACAAATTTTTTTTTACTTTTTTTTATTTTTGCGTGGTTTAGCACCGTTCATTGTCACAAAACTTGCGGATCGAAAGGCTGTGCCGTAGAAAAGCAGTAGAAAGTGTGAGGTGTTGTTGTTCAATTTCACAAAACAAAATGTGCAGGCCACAGATCCACACACCTGTGGATCTGTGGCAGCTCCACAGGTGTGGAGCTGCCACAGATCTCCTCCCCATCCTGCTCTCGACCCTCCCTCTGGTTGTCCCGCTTTCTAGCTTTTCTTTGTTACACAACTGCCGGTCAACCGATGACCCATTGCACCGTTTAGGCTACCACTGGGTACTTGCACAACGGTGCACCGCCGACTCTAACTTTGGGCAAAAACTGCGAGCCAACGGGCCGACGCACTTGCGCTTGGAGACGGCTAAGATGTCTATGAAAAAAAGTATGCGGAAAACACTTGTTAAGAGCCAGGCAGAAGCTTAGAATTCGATTCGGAAAACCGCAGGAATGACTTGGATGTGGTAGTCCCGCTATCGCTGCCTATGAAAAGGGCGACGACGAGCAAGCGTGTGCTGACGGCACGGAACAGACTTTCTATTTGTATCTGTTCCAGTGGGCAGCCATTGTTTTATCCTAGGGATAAAATTGGCAAGTTCAATGGATGTAGCCTCTGCCTTCGTAGATAACATCTAGCTTTAGCGTCAGCATTGGCTTTGACAGTGTCCCGACTGGCTTTGAAGACCGTTTCTTTTTCCGTGAAGCATGGCTGTTCCCCATCAGATTGTTTTGACTGTCCGTTCTGAAAACAATAAGTCAATCCAAAGGATTGACTTATTGTGAGCCCTCCATAAAACATGTTATTTTAGTTTTTTCAAGCATAAAAGGGTAATACGATATAGATAAAAAAAATTTGCATTGAACAGAAAATATTTTGCTTGCCTGAGAAATTTTGACAAATAATTTTTTTTCTTTTTTAAGTGTATATGAATAGTATTTTCAAAGTATATATTTTCATGGCTATCAAGGAAACATCTTTGTTATTTTTGAATTTAGGATAACATGACCTAAAAAGAGGCATGGGATACACTCGAATGAACTGGGTCTCGGGTGTACTCTGGATCGAGTCTTTCGAGGGCAGTGGGGCAAATTATGAAGTTAGGCATGGGTGCAGCGAAGGGTGGTGGGTTTGCCTTTGCCATTGTTTTCTTCAAAGATACGCTACTTCTAAATCCCGAAATTTTGATGGTGGTGATGGGCGGACTTTGTTGCGGTTTGACACCTTTAATCGAGCAGGAATTTGGAGGAGTTTGAGCCGCTTCGTAAAGTCACAGGCACGCAATTTTAATGCCGTACTATACTCTGTTCATCACTGAGGTGACAGTGCTATGGGAACTGTGTGCTTGCCGTACCGATAACCGCCCTTCTTTCATCCCCCAACTTTGCTCCCTGCGCGTGACTACGAGTGGGAGAGTAATTGCATGGCGAGAGACGGGCATATGTCTGATTTGACAAGCACATAGCATCTATTGCAAACAGAGTATGACTGAAGCCTTGGACTGCACATCTGACTGGCGTATTGCTGAAAAGTTTACTAGAGAAAGCACACATGCTGTGTCTTGTTTCTTTTACTTCGAGAAAACTTTTATAGTCATTTACGTAACATTTTTCCAGCACCATTGACATCACACCCATGTTTCACAGGGCTTTGCAACAATAGCAAACGTCGCTATACTTGTCTCCTCGAGAAAAAACAAACAGACAAGTTTTGCATTGCTCACACGCCGTGCAAAGTAGTTATTACAAGATTGGGTTGTCGGAGGAAGAAGCAATGCTTTTGGTGTGTTACACCTGTATGTCTTGATAAGATAATGTATGTCTAATCTAGAATGCGCCTACAGATATCTTAATTCTCTGCATAAAAGGGGAAATCAGTAATGCTCTACGTGGAGCCGGAGCTTTTTTTTTTTACAGCGGTTCTTGAGGTGAAAACGAGTGCAGATGAACTCTGTCGAAGCATTTTTGTTGAGTCTGCTGTTGGGCTTTGAAGTCAGTCAGACCTCGTAAACCAATGTCTATGGAAACTTGTCGACCGGCGTGCCTTGGTAAACTGAGACCAACAGCCCCAGTAAGTGTGTTTGAGCATGGCACACGAAGACATACCGTCGGAGTGCCCTCGTCTCATTGAACGCTAACACATGGATCATTCCCCGTAGCTCTAGTTCTCACTGGGGCCGTGACACCTGTCTTCTGACAAGTTGTGTTGATGATAAAGCTGAGGCACGCAAAATTGGAGGTGGAAGTTTTCACTTGCTGTAAGCCCATATCTACCCCGTGCAGGTCTGTCTGGTGGGAGCCATGCGGGAGGAGGGATGATATTGAAAGAGCACTTTCCTTCTTTGTCTCAAGCTGCTATACAAGTCCAAAATTTAGCGGGGAAATCTCTGGTTACACTTTTGCATTACACTTTTTCTGGGACTTTTTTATGAAACGTTTTGCCCTAGGCGCTTTGTGTGTAACATACAAGGTATTTGATACTAATTCGAACGGGTTTATTTTTAAAAAAAATTATAAAAGGTGCGCTGATGCGGTTTGCGCAGGTGAGGCCAAGCGGACATTATATAGGCAGCTGATCTTAACGATCAGTTGGACAGTTAACTAAAATTTCTTAATTAACTTTTACAGCGAAGCTGTAATGCACTAGGATCTGGGAAAAACATGTGTTCGCAGATGTTGACAAGAAAACTCGCCATTGATCGTGGCAAGTATGAATAAATAAAAATGAAAAGCGGGGGCAACCAGCGTGAGTCAGCCCTTCTTGGCATAATTAGATAGTGAGGCCCTGATCTCTTGTTATTATCTCTATGCATCGTCCACGAGGTCGTCCTAGAAGTCGTCCTTGAGGTCGTCCTCTCGGCGTCATATTTGAGGTCGTCCTAGAAGTCGTCCTTGAGGTCATCCTAGACGTCGTCCTCTAGGCATCGTCCTAGACGTCGTAAAAATAACAGCTTCGCTGGTCCTCCATTTTCACGTGAAGTGGAAGGTCTCTACAATTTTCTTAATTGGTGAAAGTAAACATGTGGTCTCAATCTGAAACTTGATGAGCATAATCAGAAATCACTAAATCAGTCAATTTAAGAATGACTTCAAGCGCGTGGGAAACACGGGAGTGCACCACTTGTGCAGCAGACGCAAAGCTAGTGGTGAGGAAATGTGGATGATAATCTAATTAACTGCCTTTCCCCACTGCTAGCTTTGTGCCTGCTGCACAGGTGGTAACTTAGGCGCACCCCCTCATTTCCTGTGTGCTTGACGTCGTTCTAAAGTTGACTGATATAGTGGTTTTCGATGGCACCCAGCAACTTTCTAATTGGAACCATAGGTTTATTTCACCATTACAAAAATAATTAAGAAATATAACTTCATTATCCAACTCATTCTGAAGATATAATGTTTCCCTGGCCATATAACTGATGTGTGCGAACCGCTTTAACATACCTTTTACAAATGTTTTGTAATAAATTTGTTTGAATTAAAATTGGACACCCTGTATATAGTGTAGCGCCTTCCAGCCATAGTGCTGTGCTGATGCTTCTCACAGGAGGCATGGTTACTTACTGTGGGGAATGTCAGAAGACCGTGACATCCGAGGTCGAAAACGCTACAAATTGGTGACCCACTTCCCGATGCACCTGCCGGCTTGTAGCTTTTTCGATCTTTGTACTGTGGTGGACCAAAAGGATGGGGCAACTGACTCTGAGCTTACGTGAAGACTGGTGAACTTGTCCGTGTAGGATCCTGGGTGTGGCCAACGTCATGCCCTTAGATCGTCTAACCGTGCTTGCCGACCGCATCGCAGAATGTTCTTCGCCAAATGGGAGTGCCCTCGCAGCATCAGACCCTATGTTTTGAAAAACACGAGCTTCACGCATTGAAGCCTGGCCTGATTGTCTAACGAATAATGCCGCCGGATCGGTCAATTGCAGACGAGTTCAACCCGACCATCCTATCCAGGCCACCAGTCTCGCAGAGAAGGTTTTCACCTTGAATGTTAAGGACCATTTCAGATATTGAATAATCATAGTATTGTGAGTCTTTTTAGTGTATTTGTTTGATATTTTTAATGAAAGGTATTGTTTCATTAACGACCCATTCTCACGCACAAGCACAGAAGTGTTTTGTGAGACAGGATAGTATGTGTAACGTGAAAGAAACTTCGAACAACCCTATTATTCAGGCGATGTCCACCACCATACCGCCTACTGCAAAATACTGCAAAAGCGCCCACTTCGTTGAGTGCCCACTAGTGACATTTCCCAAGCTTGGGAATCCTGCACATTATACTTCAGGCGTCCGATTTGACTGAGCAAGCGCCCATGTCTAGATTAACCCAGCTTTCAGTGGAAGTGGGGTGGGCGCTTATCCGGTATTTTATGGCGAGCTCTGAGTCAGTCGCATCAACTTTTCATCTATCGTGACACGACAATCAAACGCTCTATGCGTACAAAGTTGCGGCGGATGCAATCTCGAACCCGCGCCTCGCCGCCAGATCCGGCCCACGCCCACGCCATCCCCTCCTCTCCCTCGCAGGTCCAGTGCCAGGTGCACCCGACCCTGACAGCCACGGACGACGCACTGGAGTATGTGGAGTCCCTGGTGCTGCGATTGCTGGGAACCCTGTGCCTGGGGCGCCCCCACTCGGTGCAGGACGTGGAGGAGCGGGTGGTGCGCCTGTTCCCCCACCCCATCGACCAGTGGGCCATCCGGGACGCCCAGGCTGCCCTCGAGAGGGGCCGCCGGAGGTCCTCTCTAGTGCTGCCCCTCGACAAGGTGCATCCACTCCTCCAGAAGGTGGGTCAGCGTCGAGCGGCGTCGTTGTATGGTGGGCGAGCGTTTCAGAAAGCGACTTTGGTGCGTCAGAATGCAAGGAGGGGTGCGTCGATCGAAGAGCAACCTAGAGAAAATGTGATGACAAGGCGGCCAAGCGCGCGCCGTTGTCGGTCGAGGTTTGAGGGAAATAAAATCACGCAGACGTGTTTGGGGGGGGTAGACGAATGGACGAGCGGACAAACTTGCTTGCCGTATAGTTGCTTGCAAAGTGAGAATGGAAGGGAGGAGCTTCGTGCACCTCTAGGGGGGTACTGTAATATACCGAGAGATAGCCCACTTTGAATTGAGAGCACTTTAGGTGAAAATAGGGCGTGGGACTAACTTCAAATGTACTATTAAGAAGAGTTGACAAGAAAACTAGTTTTAAGATCAAATGTCCCCGCCAAACTTGTTCGCAGCGAGGGACAATGAAGCAAAGATGAACATACTTTACAGTCGGCAACGTTCGCTTATATCCCACTATAGCCGACCAGCCGCGTTTATGCCGAGGTCATCTTTGATCCGAACACTACGATTACTAGGAGTGAGCCAGCTTCCTATGTTTATGAGAAAATAGCGAATCGGGCCAGAAACAGGGCGTTATCCTTCGAGAGTATGGTATCTCTCGGGGCGTTACGGTAGACAAACGGACAAGCAGACAAGCTTGCACGGCGTACAGTTGTCGACGGGGTGAGAACGGCAGGGAGGAGCTTCGGTCGTCCTTCCTCCAACGCGAGCTTCTCACCTTCGACGACGCTTCGACATCTCGTGCACCTCGAGCAGACGCGCGCTGCCCCAGTATGGTGAAAGGCACGGCATGTTCCAGGCACCGTAGTTGTGGCACTGTTCCTAGAGCACAACTGCAAGTGGTGTGTTCGGTGTGGTACACCGGGAACCGGTGCACGTTGAGCGTGCCCAATTTGTTCCGTGCTTTTCTCGCCAGCAGCACGGACGACTTGCAACGGTGCGTGTCTGTGCAGGTGCTTGGCTACCGGCTGGACCTGCAAGTGAGCCAGTACATGGTGGCGGTGCTGGAGTACATTGCGGCTGACATTCTCAAGCTAACGGGCAACTATGTCAAGAACATCCGGCATGCGGAAATCACCTGCCAGGACTGCCGCGTGGCCATGTGTGCCGACAAGGTGGGTCGGAGAGGTCGTGTCAGGGCTGCGGATTACGTACAGGTGTCTGTTGACTGGTAGCTGGTGGCCTTTTAGTGGAGGGATAGTTTGGGATCACACCCACAATTCCAGTTTCGTTTTTTTTTTAATGTTGTTTCCAAAGACGAAGGAGAGGGAATTTTGGAAAGGTCCTTGGTGCAAAAGGCAAAACCGGTCGCCTGACAGGGCTCTAAGGCTAGAGGAACAATATTTTGGGTGTTTCACGCTCGCTGTATTGTTGTGTGTCGTTGTGCGGTTATTTGAAGCAGACAATAGGTAGCTTTTTCTTGTGCCACTCACAAATTGGACATTTTTAAGACTTCATCAAGCGAACAACACGCTGACCATGTATCTATGGACAGTGTACGGTCCTTTTGTGAAAAAAAATGGGTGGTTTTGATATCTGGCATCTGTTGTGGGCCTTTTACACTTGATCGCACAATCTATGTCTGCAGTGACACCAGGTGCCACGAAGTGCTTTGTGCGACCAGCACTCGGCTTAGTAGAACGAGTGCTTTGGGGAAGCATTTTGCACTTGTCTCTGCGTTTGACGACGTCAGCTTTATGCTGCTTTTTTCTGTCAATGCAGCTGCGAAGAGCCATTTTTCGACAGCGGAGTTGTTAAGCTCTAGTTTCTCCAGTATCGTGTCCATGGACAAACAGATGTCGACAGAAAACTCCAGACAGCTACTGCCATCTATAAGCAACAGCAGCTACCTTTCCAGCCTTTCCACTCTGGTTTTCACCAGAGTGGAAAGGCTGACTTTCTCTAGGTGTTGTCCTCGAGGTCGTCCTAGAAGTTGTCCCAGAAGTCGTCCCTGAGGTCGTCCTAGACATTATCCGAGAGGTCGTCCTAGAGGTCATCCTTGAGGTCGTCCTAGACGTCGTCTCGAGGTTGTCCTAGAAGTTGTCCTTGAGCTCGTTCTAGACGTCATCCTTGAGGTTGTCTTGGACATCATCCTTGAGGTCGTCCTATAGACGTCGTCCCTGAGGTTGTCGTAGGCGTCATTTTCCAGGCGTCGTCCTTGAGGTCGTTCTAGACGCCATCCTCTATGCATCCTCCTAGACATCGTAAAGATAATAGCTTCCCTCGTCCTCCATCTTCATGTAAAGTAAAAAGGCTCTATATATATATTTTTTTCACGTTTAGGAATTAAAGGATTGGAATGGTAAAGTTCATTCATTCCAGGAGTGGAAATGGGCCCGGTGTCTCCATTTTTAGGAGTTGAAAGGAATGGAACCATAGGGAATCATATTTCCCCAATATGGAGTTAGAATGGAAGGTGGTACCCATTCCGCAACACTGTCTCGCAGGCATTCTCACGGCCTTCATCTCACAGACTTACCGCCGAATTCAGAAACCTCACTCGAACTACACTCAAACTTAAGGGCCCCTCCACTTCCTCGAGGAAGGCGCGAGGGCCAGCGCTGGCCAATCGCGAGGACGGATGCGCCGTCGCGATTGGCCAGCGCCGGCCCTCGCGCCTTCCTCGAGGAAGTGGAGGGGCCCTTAAAGGGGTTATGACACGCCAAAAATAAAATATTACATAACCATACTGCTAGGACCCATTGTAGGTTCCTGTAATCCTGCTAAATTTGTTTTGAAAAAGGCGCGATAATTACGTGGATAAATCGATTTGTATGCGGGCCCCTCGGAGGGGCAGATCCGGGCGGACCTGGAGGCTGATGACGTAGCCAGCCTCCAGCGTGGTGTCTACTTGCACGCTCTCACAGACTTGGCTCTCTTGGCGTATCGAGCCTCAGCTTCCTCGTTTACCTTCCACGTTTCCAGCATCCGATCTGTGACGATTACGTCTACGGCATCGATCGCCTTGTCGAAGTGTTCGACATTGATCGCAGCAGCGATGAGAGTGATTGCTATCAAGAGATGTTGGAAGCTGTTCATTTTGACTGCGACCCGCTGGCGACCAGCTCCAGCGACGACGAGTTCGCCGTGGTCACCGTCGTCTGGGAATGTCTCGCAGGCGCATGCAGGGTGGAAGGTCAACCGGCCGGGGGGCGAGAGCGAGAATAGCTTTCAGTTTACCGAGCTGTTTGAGCGGTTTTGTTCGTACCGCGACGAGAAGAACTTGGGCGATCATGGGGGCGCCTAAAATGAGAGAGTGTTCATGGTCACGTGGTCTATGGACACCATGGTGTGACTAACTTGAGCAGTGTTGCCTGGTCGCCAGATGAAAATTATAAAAATTCGTAAATTGAATATTGCAATTATCAGAGCTCTAAAAATTGCGTAACTTGGTGTACATACTAAGTAGCCTATGAGCATTCCATTTCAAGAATAATCTATCCGTTTAATTTTCTTGTCATAACCCCTTTAAGTTTCAGTGTAGTTTGAGTGAAGTTTCTGAATTCGGCGGTTAATTTTGTGAACACCTTCTCACGGATGTATTCTCGTAGACTTATTCACGGAATGGAAGGGGGGTACCCATTTCGGAACACCATCTCGCAGACATTCTCACAGACTTAATTTTGTGAGCACATTCTCACGGATGTATTCTCGTAGACGCATTCACACGAGTTCTTGTAGACACATTTTCATAGACTTATTTTCATGGATATCGGACACATTCTCGTGTGCAGGTGCTCATGGACATGTTTCACGGGGAGGAGCTCGCAACGGCGGAAGAGGAGTCCCCCGGCGGCCGTCCCCCGCTGTCCTACGACGAGGAGGTGAAGGACCTCATCTCGGAGGAGCGGCAGCACATCCGGGAACTCAACATGGTCATCAAGGTCTTCCGGGAACCACTCGACAAGCTCTTCCCAGGAAGCAAGGTGCCCTTCAGCCCCTCTGTTCCTTTTTTCTGTTACTTGTTTCTTTGCGGTCACGGGTCTTTCTGCTGCGAGTGTTGGTGGAGTAAACAAGTACCCCTATGTGTTGGTGGGGATTTTAAACTCTCTTGGCTGATTCAGCATGATCATTGACTCTGGGCAAAGGGCTTTCCAAACAAAATGGAGGTTTTCTCCCGTTTCCAGGCTGCTTTTGTGTTTCTTGGTTGTTTTTTTATTTGGAAGGAGAGCTTCCCTTTGCTTGCATCCTTGGACAGAGATTTAGAGCGTGCTCGTCATGCGGGTACGGACAGCCACTCGCACGCTGTGCTGGCCGTGCTAGCCGTAGTCGAAAACCAAAAACAGCAAGAGACGTTTGCGAGGAGGAGAGGAGGAAAGCTGTGCCGTTTGTGTGGTTGACGTCCAGGCCGAAAAAGGACGCGCGCACCGCTGCTTTTATGTTGTTTTTTTTTTGTCCGTATCCCGTATGGGCGGCTTTTAATCGTCTTCATACTTTCAAAATTGTGCATTCCGAGCTGGAAACGCTTCTTAAGAAACGCCCGGCGCAGCTCAAAACAAGCTGAGCTTTCTGTGCCCCCCGGCATAACCTGCGTAATTCGGACACGCTTAATTTTTTCTTCCCCTTCCCGTGGCATCCCAGCTCACGGCTCTCTGTCTCGGTTCTGTTTTTGGGTTCGTCCGCAGGATCTGGACGTGATCTTTGGAAACGTGTCGGAGGTGTACGACTTCAGCGTCTCCCTGCTCGGTTCTTTCGAGGACGTCGTGGAGATGACGGACGAACACCAGAGCCCTGCCATCGGCTCCTGCTTCTACGAGATGGCCGAGGTCGGGAGTACTTTCTGCTTCTCCTTTGCTCGCATTGACCGAATTGTGCGCACCTCGTTCGTGGTGATGGCACTGGTCCCTCATTCCTGGGTGGTTCCGAGTTCAACTTTCAAAGGTTGAATTTAAAACTGAAACATCTGTGAGGCAGAAGATCCTTTTCGGTATCCTCCTTTCCCCATTTTCTTTTTTCACATTTAAATTTATTTGCATGTTCATCTCTCTTCTTTTCTGTCTCTTTTTTTCAGTTGGTGATACTGTCAAGACCGGTTATAACGAAGTCGGTTATAACGAAATAGCGGCTACAGCGAAGCGATCACAATTTCCCATTCCCTTTTGCACTTCGTTAACCGAAGTCGGTTATAACGAAATAGTTGATATAGCCAAGTAATTTCCGATTCCCGTTGACTTTGTTATAACCGGTCTCGGCAGTATTGATGAACCTTGTGCTGTGCACCTCAGGTTCTGTGCAACCATAGTAGTATTGTGGCTTCCTGTGTATCCCAGCCTAATTACGTTGCATTGAATTGCACAACGGCCACTACTGTTTCTCCAAACAAGTGGTAGTAGTGCTAAGCAAATTAGCAACAAGTGCACTTTCGTGATGAGAACATTTTGCCCGATAGCTGTGTCGTTGTGCTTCGGTGAACATCCGAAAAGGGGCTTTGGTAGCGAATAGAGCGGAAAACTTTTCTGTTTGGTGATGCTAGGATCAAAGACGGCGCATGCAAATATAAGTAAGCATGTGCCTTAATCTACTTCGCTCGATTCCCTTGCTTTTGTGGACACATTTGAAAGACCCTCTTGAGACATTTTGTGGCTTGAGAGGGAAACCATACTGCCTCTGTACAATGTGCACCACTGAAGAAACGACCACTATTGTGGAATTGGGACGTCACATGCAGGAGACGCATACCAAGACAAATGCGATTGCGTTTCGGGCGCAAGTTTGAGCTGACGCAAGCGTTTGGGAGAACGTTGGCGACGAAAGTAAGCCATAATCCTCATCACCGCCCAAACTTTCCAGTACGACGAATTTGACGTCTACGAGGACTACGCACGGACGGTGCTTTCGCCTGACTGCCGGGAAAAGTTGTCTCAGTTGCTACAGCAGCCCGACGTGGCCAACTCCCTTCAGGTGAGAGTATGGCAAGTGGATAAGCATTCTAAGTTTTCCAGCTTTTTTGTTATGTGCATTAGTGTTTTTTTTAGTCTGAAACTGGAAGGCATCACAGTGTCTCAAGGACATTTAAGAATTCTCTGTGTTTGTCGTGTTCATGCAGTTGTAGAAGAGGAAGCTGGTTTTTATCTTTTTGACCGCATAAAACAAAGAAAAATGGTCACATTTTATATGCGATGGATAGTTTATCTGCTAAAAGGAATCTACAGATAACGGGTTTTCAAACTTGGTTCTCCAAATGGAGTTCAAACTAGGCTTCAAACTGGATTCTGAAACATAGATTCTTGAAATTCTAGGAAATTCCGGTGTATGCGTATGAATTAATTACTTATGGGGGTGGAGATTTTTATAACCTACGTGTTTAAGGCACTGTCTAGACCGGTTATTAGGAAGCCAGTGGGAATCGGAAATCACTTTGCTATATCTGCTTCGTTATATCTAAAATCCAAGAAGTAACATGCAAAAAAAAGGAAACACGAGCCATTACAGGCACGTGTTTATCGTGCCTGCAGAAAGCGGTCAGGCTTCCCTGCACGTGTTCTCTGCTAGATCGGAGCCACTTCTCGCCACCTCCGAGAAGTTCCAATCGAAAGAAGATCCCCCGAGCTGCGTACGGCCAGTGTCAACAGCTGTGACGGGCACCATGGAGGACGCCGGCAAAAGATGGCATTCTTTACGTTTACGTGCACTTTGTCAAGGATGGCAGGACGCTTTTGTTTCGAGGAGGTTGCTTTCATCTTCCCGTCGTGGGGCCGGCGGTGCCGAATCTCACCATTGTTGAGTGACGACGAGTCGCTGAATTGGTGTTTGAGTGAAGCTAGACTTTCGCACAGAGAGCGATCGGAAACCGACCAGCAACGTCTGCACGGAACACGAAGTGAACAAAGAAGCACATACGGAACCGAGTTTGTGCTCAAGGGCTCAAATTTGTGTTTTGTCGGTATAGAGAGCCTAAAATTAAGAGGTGAAACAACTGCTCGATCGGTGTCACATGGTTTCTGAGCCGCATTTGCAAAATGGGCTGCAGCCTGCAAGGAGTCAAAAGTGTTTGTCGTGTGCAAACGTGACCACTTCTCACGTGTCCTCTTTTCCGCCACTTTCCTCACCACGCCGACCACGAGACAACCAAATGCTAGGCGCAATTGTGCCAATCTTCCCAGGAGTAATCCGCTGTTAAATTTCAAATGGTCTCCATGGTTGGAGTTACTCCCTTTTAAATCTAGGCTCTCTCCGTGATCTCCGTGTGTACATCGGCGCTGGTGCTCTGAATGCCCCCGTCGGCATGCCACGGCGGCTTCTTCGCGCATACTGTTGAAAAGCCACTTCTCAGATGAGGAGTGGGGAGCAGACGACAACGCAGGAGCTGCTGCTGGTGGCCTCTGCATCATGTCTGCGGCCTGTGTTGGGCTGGCTGCTCGGCTGCGGCGGCAAAGTGCAGTGGTCTGTGAATCAATAAACTTTCCGAATTTAGTTATCTTCTTAAATTGTCACAAAAATTTTTCTTCGCTATATCCGTGGAAGGCGCTCAATTTCCTTCACTAAAAGCAAACACAAATACATTGAGAGAATGCAAACAAGAACGGGAAATCGTGGTCGTTTTTCCATAGCCGCTGTTTTTTTATGACGGACTTCGTTGTAAATGGCTGTGACTGTACTCTGGTGTTGGTTGTGAACGAACAAACATGCGCAACGAAACAAGGTGTTGTGTCTGGTGCTGTGATGGGCACGCCTGGAATAATTGGCATTTACATTTCAGACGGCTGGACACGGTTTTCTGCTGGCGGTGAAGTATGTCCTGCCTCGACTGCTCTGGGGCCCTGTTGCCCATTGTTTCCAGTATTTCGAAGCCATCAAGGTGAGGAGAGCGGGGCACGTTACTTTTAGCGTCCAGTGAATGCCTTCAGTGGGCTCAAGTCCCGAGTATATTGTGTTGTTGAGCTAGGAGGAATCGGTAGAAAGGGACAACGTGGAATTGCGGGGGACTTTAAGGGGTTGGGAAAGTTCTAGTTGTTGAGTTGTCGTGAATTTTGAACCAGAGGTTTTGCGTTGTTTTAGAGCGCAACTCTTAGGCGCCCGTTTCCGGCTTGAGCAGCGTCGCCGTCGGCATAACCGCACGGTGGATTATGGGACTCGTGACGTCACTGGTGACGTCACGATGACGTCATTTGTGACGATGACGGTGGCGATGACATCCTCAGTGATGTCTCTGATGATGTCATCAGTTACGATGACAATGCCAATGCTGATGACGTCACCAGTGACGATGACGTCACCAGTGACGATGACGTCACCAGCGACGATGACGTCACCAGCGACGATGACGTTACCAGTGATGATGATGTCATCACGATGGCGTCACACGTGACTCCACTAATGACATCACTGATGACGTCATCACAATGGCGATGACGTCATTGTGATGACGTCCTCGTCACGTGACCTCCCAGGGGTCACGTGACCCCCGTGAGGTCCATGGCCCTCGTGAGGCGACGGCAACACCGCTCGGAAGGAGCAGTAGCAGACAGGATGAGGAAGGGAGGAGGGGTATACCTTCCCCTCAGCACCCTTCCCTCTTCCTCCTCAAGAGCTGCGCTCTAATTCGGCGTTGCAGGGAGTTGTAATGGCTTTCAATTTTCTTCCTCTCTTGTCGTCCTCTCTTTGGAAGGTGTAAAGAACGCTTACATTAGCAGTGAAGTTGCGGTAGAACCTGGACGACGTGTTTTAAGAGGCACTGTAAGAAAATGTATGGTCCGAAAAATATGTAACGAGCGATAATGCTTTTGAGGATGAAATGGAGAAACTCTTGCACAGCACACTATTTCCCTGGTCTTTCGTGACTACAGAGAACTCCCAGGTTTATTCAACTGCTTAGGAACTGCTGTGGAAATTCTAGGAATATTTTTCGTTGATGCCATGGAGTTTTCCACCGCACAACCATTTCAAAGAGTTTTCCTGCGGGCAAGCCTTGCAATCAACCAAGGACTTTTGCTGTAGCATTATTGCAATTCAAATGTTCCTCTCTTACTATAAGTATATGAAGATAGGTTACATGTATGTAGACATAAGATCCTCGGTAAGTGATTTTGCCATTCGGAAGCTAATATATCATATCCCACTCGTTGCGCACATTAACCGCGGTATGCAGAATTGAAGGAGGTACATAACAAATGCATGCCGCCTGCTTCAATTATTACAAACGGATATATAGACGCGTGCATAAAGTTTGCTAGCAAAAGACCAGGGTACATCAGGCGCTTCTTAAACACGCCTTGTTAGAAACCAAACTCACGGGTGACGAGATGTTAATCTCCCCGTTAAAGGGGTACTCCACCGGTTTTTTCATTGTCTCCGATTTGCTTGAAATTTTGCTAAACTAACCAACAAACATTGCTAAAATAGTATCCCAAATATTAGGCCAAAATATTGTTTTTTCGCGAAGTTATTGAATTTACAGTTTTGGTCTTCACCGTGTTTTTCAAACTGAAAGTCTCTACTGGCAACAACAACAAAATGACGTCAGTGGAAGGCAGAGGTTAACTTTTTGGACTACAGAAGTTGTTCCCAACGGATTTGAAGCAGTTTCTTGGTGTCAAATGAGTGCTTTGGAAGCTCGCTCCCGTATCCGCGCTCCAGCACGGAACAAATGATTGGCATATTCTATTTTTAGAGTACTTGGTCGACTGGCAAGCCTGCCTGCCACTGACGTCACGGCACTGAAAAGTGCGCGAATATTTGAATATTGGTTTTTGCACCATTTTCATTTGCCGATTTCACAATACCTATTATGAATTTCGCGATGCTAAATAGCATACCGGAAGGGCTAAAGGCCGGGGAGTCAGAAAATATAGTTAGTTGAGGTAGCTCAAAAAATCGGTGGAGTAACCCTTTAAGAGGGTGGTCCAGTAGTGCCATTTGCGCCATTTTGATAAATTCCCGCTTTCCTCTGCCTTGCTGCGCCCGAAGGGACAAATTACGCCAAACTGCGCCAATGCAAACGGATCTGCGAATGATTTGGCTTTTGGAAGAGTTTTTGTTTTCGTCTGGCAACTGTGGGAATCTATTGGGGTTTGGTATACGCACACTTATGTTACTTCCACCACTGGAAAAAACAAAGGGAGACTGGAGTGCTGGTGAAGGACGACACTTGAAGAAGAAATCGACGTTAACTAGTCCAGCCACTAGCAGGCCTAGATCCAGCCTTGCTGAGATCCCTTGGTACAAAGGAGTTAGCCTTAAATCCAATTCATTCGAGCTGTATGGCTCCTGGCAGAAGAGGAACTCACAGGGGAGTTGACTGGCCAGATGCAGAATCCACTTTTGATCACACAATACAAAAGGGAAAGCTATAAAATCCAAATCGGCCATCACAATCCAATCCAGGTGCTGTCCGGCTCCTCAAGATTTTTTCACACCAATTTTACCCACATTCCTAAGGCTGTGCAGTTTTAAGTTTTAGCTATGTTTCAATATGCACTGCTGAAGATTAACAAGCTCAAGTAATTCTTTTTTCTGCATGCCCATATTCAGAAGCGTGACACTTTGTCGAAATGTGCTCGCAGGTGGCTCCCATTTCGTTAGCATGGTTAACATGCACGGTCAGCCTCTGCTCGATTACAAAATGTTGCCTTTTTTTCATGTTAAATGATGTGAATTCCTCGATAGTACTGCTCGTTGAAATGTTTCTGTACACAGGATATTTTTATTGATTAAGCTTTTGCCTATTAACTTGGATTTTCGGGCAACTGGATCGCTATCGCAACCGAGGAAAAGCAAAGCAAGTTAAACATGGAATGTCTCCGCATTGACAGGTCGTCAGGAAGTGTCATTGTGCATAAAATGTTTATGACAAAGCATGTTGTCTTCAGGACTTATGGGTTCCAGACAATGCCGGTTTTCGTGTCACATCAGAAGACTTCAGAGACCTCTGCTCCAGATAATAAAGAGTGGAAAATCGGCACTCTACAAACCCTGGCCCGTGCATGGCCGTCTTCCTTCCGATGACATCCGGCCCACAACTTGCTGCTACGAATTCAAAATTAAGTGAATAAAAAAATTTCAAAAAAATCTGGAAATTACCGTATGTGTAAGAGGAAAAGTTTTTTATGGGTTGTTTTAGGTGCTCATTCTTTCTGCAAACTGTGGAAATGCAACAAACTTCCAGCACTCATTGTGGCTGCTGAAAGTTGGGAAGAATTTGCTTCCTTTGTCTCAGGCATTTTGGTCTCTGGTACACAAAAATGTCAATTGCTGTTTTTTTTTTTATGTATTGAAATGATTGTCTTGATGTGTGTTTTGCACGTGTTTTCTTGTGTTGTGTAACCTCCACTCCCATCTTGGTCCCGTGCAAGGCCGACGGTGTTTGAAATAAATAAAGGTTGTCGCATCTAGAAAAACTTTTTCACTGGTCCCAGGTCCTGCAACAGATGGCTCCGTCGGAAGAGGACCGGGAGACGCTGGAGCAGGCAGAGGGACTGCTCCGGAGGCTCCGAACCCAGCTGACGCGCACCTGCTCCGACACCCTGCCCCGCAAAAGGCCCGGGTCAGTCATTGTTCCCGTTCCAACGACTCTTCTTCCATAGAGCCGTCCTACATGTAGCATTTAAACCGGTCCTACGTCGCATTTAAAAAATCAATTGTGATCTCTCAAAGTTGCGGCGTCGTTCGTTAGAGCCCGAGCCCAAACCGTGGCGACATCTCCACCGCAGGGACGTTTCCCTACGGATGCACAGCCGGGACCGCCGTGCGGTGGCCCTGCACAAGCTCAAGGAGCTCCAGAAGTCCGTGGACGGTTGGGAGGGTCGGGACATCGGCCAGTGCTGCAACGAGTACCTGATGGGTGGGTAGCACCAAGGTCTCTCGCTGCGCGTTGGTCCGTCCGAGGGTCGGGCGACGTATTCACTGGTGCTTCCTCCCGCGCCGCAGAGGGCTCCCTGGGGAAGGTGGGGTCGGGGCGGCGGCTGACGGAGCGGCACCTGTTCCTCTTCGATGGCCTGGTGCTCCTGTGCAAGCACAGCAGCAAGCGGTCCAGCGTCACGGGCGGTCCGACGCCCGAGTTTCGGCTCAAGGAGTGCTTCTTCCTCAGACGGATAGAGATCGTCGACAGGGAGGACACTGATGGTTGGTGGTCTACCGCTTTCCCCTTCTCTGCTTTGGTCGTTGGCGCGGTCGGGGTTTGCGCGGGTCTTGAGAAGACCTTGAGAACCCTTGAATTTGAAAGAAACCTTTTTCGAGTCCTTGAAAACCCTCGGACTTCGTGATTAAAGTCGAAAGCGTTGTCTTTTTTTATTGTTGATGGACCCTTTCGACGTTTGCAAACACTGGCCATCTCTTGCCTCCCGAGAGACTTCCGGTCGCTCTGTTTCGGCAGCCTTTCCGAGCCCGCTGATGCCACGATTCTTAGTGCGATGAAATTTCGCAGAAGTCACGAAGTGGGGGATTTACCGAGGTCCTCGTGCTGTGCTGTTCAGCATATAAAAGGGGGGGGGGGGGGGGGGGGTCGGCCGTCTTGCGGGAGTATTGGAAAATCTCCGACAAATATTCTGCCAGCCGGTCCTCTAGCTAACCATTTAAAAGCAATGTTCATAAAATATTTCATAATCATTGCAAGGGACTTGTTTGTCCTCTCATTTGACCAGAAGTTCGCAAAGATGCGAGTTGCAGCAGCGCCTCCTCTCGACGCTTTTATGAAAAGGGTCTATAAAGCATGATTACTATGCATTCTCTTTCATTCACATCACAGTATTAAACTTCTCGGTTTTGTAGTGAGCAAGCTTTTCTTTGTAGTATCGCAATTACATAAGACAAAGATTTGTTTGGTGCTTTGCGACATAGGGTGTTTCGGTCCTGTTCGCTCCACCGTTTTCTGATCTTGCCTTTTTATTTCCTCGGTAATTTGCAGTCATTGCACTTTCCCGGCCTGTTCGTCAGCTGCACTTGGTTGGCTTGATTCGCACGTGCCTCGCACGGCTCGTGGTAAACGTGGACATACTTAAAGTTGCGCGTGATGCCCAGGAATGGCAACTTGCGATGGTCGTGTCCTAGCTTGTAGGAAAACGTTCAGTAGCTTGTCTGTGGGAAAGTCATGGATAAAAGCAGCTGTATCAGTTCCGTGAAACACTCTGGCAACGCAATGACGACAGTGGATACCGCCACGTGTCACTGGACGCCGTGTGCAAGTGAACGGTCAGGTGACCAGGAGGCGTAAAACCTGAACGGTGCTCACAAGATGTATGAGTTAGTGGTAGAAACATTTGCAGCGCGGTAAAAGAGTTGCCCTATTATAAAACTACCAAATATAACACCTAATTTTTTTTTTTTTTATATTTTTACAGAGCCTTGATTATCTTTGAGAAGTCCAAAATTTTGGTCTTGAAAACCTGTACGAACTTTGTATAGTCTGTTGCATCTTAAGAAACTAGTCCGTTACATGTTAAGAAACATGGGACAAGTCCCTCCCACAAATCTGTCTGCTTGCGTGTTTGCTTCTCTTCTCCTCTCCATCGTTTGAGCTGCTAAAGTGGAAATAGTGGAGAGCTTTTCCTGCAACAGACTATCTAATCTTAACCTGCTGGTGCATTTTATGCCTTGTTTACACAAGTGTAGGTCGACCCACGTTTTGTGGTCTAGAAAATAACCTGTAATTGGAGCGAAACCGTGCCACCCCAAAGAAGGCCAAAGTGGAGCGCTCTTGTTTGTTTTGTGATTCCTACTTGCTGGATGGCCTTACCTAATCATAGTGCTATTGTGCGCTCGTCTCGCTGGACTTATTTTTCTTTTATTTTTTCCCTGATCTCTACTTTGTTTGCGAGTGTAGTGTAAGTATAGTTCCACCTGAATTAACACCTGCCGAGCACCTGAGAAAGCACCTTTCACTGTACACATTGTGAATTTAATTTGCCCTCTAATGGGCCGATTTGCTTCTCCGTTGTAGAGGAACAGTTTGGTCAGCTGTGGTCCCCACAGGTGTCATGAAGTAGCGATTGCACGATGCATGGCGGTGTAATGTTCTGTCGGTGCCGGAATCTACGAAAAATTTGACAGAAATCAATTGGGCATTTTTAATCTCGTTCCATGTCAAAGATTGGCTGCTGGAATCTGTTGTGGATATTTTATGTCTACAGTAAACATTCAGCTTTGCATTTTTCCTAGTTCTTTGTTTCCTAACACTAGGTATTGTGTTTACTCGATCAATAAACATGCCCTCTGTGACCGAGGCCTGCTCGCCTGTTTCCCTGAAAAGCATAAAAGGAGTCTAAGGAATGTTGAAGCAGTGGTAATGTTCTCACACCAAACTGCTATCTGTAGTGGGATGGTGAGCATGACGTGTTACATGCTTACGATCCACCATGTGGTTTGGTGCTCTGTGTCCTTTGTGGGCATGCAGACCTCGTTTACGAGCGGTATTAACCGAGGAAGTACAGGCCATCGAAAACGAGATGTTGATGCTTGTTATCGATTTTAGTGCAGTGTCGTACCTTAGGCCCCTAAGCGTGCATATTGACCTTTTCTTGAAACAAAACTCCAAGGCTGGAAACCTTGGTCTGCAGATGCATTGTTCATTTCCGACCTTCATTATAATACTAGATTTGGGGATTGAACTTGGTATTTTTTGTATCTTGCTGAAAGCAAAATCGGTCCATCAAGTCTTAACTTTTGGACTCTCGGTTTTCAGAAATCAAGCATTCCTTTGAGATAGCGCCGAGAGACGCTCCACGGATCCTCCTGTATGCCAAGAATGCCGAGGAGAAGTGCAGCTGGATGGCGAACCTGGTCATGCTGAACATGCGCAGGTATGGGGCCAGCAGGAAGATCCTGGGGAATTTAAGGGAGCGAGTTGGGGAACTGCTGGGGAAGAAGGGAGGGGACTTTGAGGGCTAGGAAGGATTTGGAGAACTGGGGGGGGGGGGGGGGGGGGGCAGGCACGGTAATTGTTAGGGAGACGTAAAGAAGTTTCCAGAATAAGTTAGGGCAGTGGTTTTCAACCATTGATGTTTTGCGGACCCCCGTGGATTGGAAGGAAGGGAGGACCCCATTTGAGGTGAGGGAAAGGAAATGGTATATTTTAATTGTGATAATGATTTTATAAACTGATATAACTAAGGACTAATGGGAAGTAGACTTCTCTCATTGACATACGAGGAAACTCGCCCACAAATTGGAATGTTTATTCTCGACCTGAAGAAAATGTAACTTTTATTGCTGGGCTTGACTGGTGAGGCAGGGCTTTGCGGACCCGTAGAATGCCTTTGCGGACCCCCGTTTGAGAACCACTGAATTAGGGAATTGCTGCGTAGGTATGGGATCAACAGGGAGCTTCCCCCCACAGAAGTTTGGGGAGCAAGTTGGGAAATTGTCAGGGAGTATATTGAAAATATGAGGGGGCCAATTGGGGAATTGTCAGGGAAGAATGCGGGGAATTTGGGGGAGCAGGCGACGTAATTGTTGACGCAGAACCTGGGTAATTTGTCGGAACAGGTTAAGGAATTGGGGAAAAGATTTTCGTCTAGAGCGACACGGGGGTACCAACTTATAAAAAATGTGTGTAGGGAAACCATCAAACTTAGTATAATGCCTGCCCCACATAAGTTACTCTCCCATTGTAATGGACTTGTCATATAACAAAAGCTATGTTCCCAAACTTTGGTGCAACGAAAAATGAAGGAACGTTTCCCAAAAGTGGTGTGAGCCACAGCACCCTGTACTTCCCTTCCTAGTGCATGTTTTGCTTTAAGCTAATCTCGCTGACTGCCAGGCATTGCCAGTCAAGCTCAATGTGGATTTGGCAGGCCTGTTTCTGTGTGTGTTCCTTTGCTAGTCTTAAACATTGATTGATTGAATGAACGACTGATTGAATGTCTGTTTGTGCAGCATGCTGGAACGCACCCTGGACAGCATCCTGTCAGATGAAGAGAAGAAACATCCTCTTCGCCTTCCTGACAACTACAGGTGGGTCCCAGCTTCACGAGCCGTTTGCAGATGTGCTGTCGTCGTCGCAGGGCGGGCTCACTCTAGAAATCTGAAGACTGCAGATTCCGAGATCTGTTTGTGCATTTCAAAATGCCGCCAATCATCCCTGAAGGTTAAGCAGTTATTGGGGCATGAGAAGAAAGATTCAGTTTCGGGTGCACATGCGACGGTACACAGAACCCAGTACGTCTTTCGTATGCCCGCTTGAGAGCCGTAAGGCACATTTCTGGGATAGTGCGCATCACAGATAATTGCGGTATGTGTACTTCAGACTGGAATAATCTGCATTTTATTAATCGAAATCTTGCACTGTTGTTTCCAACAGGCTGAAAGAAGTTTACTCAACGGAGCATGTTAGTCACCGTACACATTTTTACAAAATACAGTGTTCACATTGAACACACTTCTTGGCAACTCCTAAGACACCAGACTGGTGCGGCGTCCCAGAAGACAAATTGCAGCATAGGCTCGCACTCAACCAAGTTGAGGAGGGAAAATTTCTGGCGTAGCGAGACACACCTAACACAGTGAAAATGTAAATTCTCCTCTACAAGGGCAGAAAAATAATGGGAAAAATTGCGTGGTGATCACAGGACATGATGTGTTTAGACAGCAGCAGCAAAGTCGTGATCTGTTTTCCCACCAAATTTAGCGAGGAAACTGAATTGGTGCATAGGTCAAATGACATAAATTTTCCTGCTAAATTTAGCGGGGAACTTGAATTTGTCCGTAGGCCCCGTGACCGCGGGTCTTGTGACATCAATTTTTCCGCCAAATTGAGCGGGGAAACTGAATTGGTGCATAGGTCATGTGACATAAATTTTTCCCCTAAATTAATGGGGAAACTGAATTGGTGCTTAGGCAAAGTGACAAGTTTTTCCGCTAAATTTAGCAGGGAACCTGAATTTGTCCATAGGTCGCAAGACGTTGAGTCGTGTGGCAAATTGTTCCGCAAAATTTAGCGGGGAAACTTTTCGTTTATGCTCACGCCGTTGTGAAAACTGGGAACGGGCCACTAACGGGCTCCCGCCGTAAAACCACGTCCCCACGTGCTTGCCTCCCGTCCAGGTTCTCCCTGGAGGACTCGGAGGACCACGTGGTGTTTGAGGAGAGCAAGACCAATGCCGGGGTGCCCCTGATCAAGGGAGCCACGCTGCTGAAGCTGGTGGAGCGGCTCACGTACCACATGTACGCGGACCCCATGTTTGTGCGGACATTCCTCACCACCTTCCGCTCCTTCTGCCAGCCCCACGAGCTCCTGGACCTCCTCGCCGAGAGATATCCTTTCCTGCGAGCCGAGTGCGCCCGGATGGAAAACAAAATGGCCCAAAAGAGACGAGAACTAGACTCTAAAGAGTGGACAGGACGATCCTTTTCTCTTTTGTGATAGTATTTCATTTTGACCCTACATATGCACCAACTAGCCTGGCAAACACAACTTTATTAGTTTGCCGGGGACGCATGGAGACTCGGAGCCTGTTGTAGTCGCCGACAGAGAGAGAAAGGCGTGACATCCCGGTGGTTCTCATCCTGTCTGCGTCTATAGTAGACGGAAGAGTTGGGCTTCCCTTTGATGATGTCAAAGGCCCGTTCACACGTACAGTGCACTGCCAGCTCGTGTAACGGGCACGAGGCTGGCGCTGTGAATACGCGGGCGACGAGAGAGACGGTAAAACTGCGGGGGTGCGTTTTCTCGTCGTTGGCCTTGCAACCGTTGCGCTGGAGGTAACTCGAGCGCGCTGCCACACATTCCACGCGCTGCGAGTCTCTCTCAATTTTACCAATTTGGTCTTTCTCGACCATGCTTGGCAAATCGCTGTCCGAGAAAGAGATGGGGTACCTCGACCTTTTTTTCTTAATCTGGGTGCTTTTCTTTTCTATTGCTCTCCTTTTTCAATTTACTTTTGTTGATTTTTATATGTTTTTACATTTTCAAATAATTTTTGAATTTTTTGTGCGAATGCATTTGGCATTTTAATTTCGTCTTTCTCCTCTCATTTTCGTCTGTCTCTTTTCATGCGTTAAACGATTAGTTGATAGTAAGTGCTTGTCCTGTTTGTATCTTTGTTCTGTCCTTGTCCTTTGCGCTTTTGTATTTACAATGCTCGGCAAGTCTGTAATTGGAAACGCTTGTTTATCTTTGCTAATTCAAAGGTTGGTTAACAAATCGAGCTAGTTAATCGACTTGTCGTGACAATTGTCTTTCTGCATTATGTTCCCCTCGCCGCATAACATGCCTGCACAGACCGCATTAGTGTAGCTTTTGTGGCTCTAAGAACAGTCTTTGAAGCGTAAAAAAAATATCCCGTGTATATAATTGTCACTTTGACTGCAAAACGGGCGTTAGTAGGCCGAACTCTGGTTGGCTCTGATTGAAGGATACTGGGAAGACCTCAAGGGCAGCTCGCTTTGATGTCTACTCACTATCCTTCAATCAAAGCCAGTCGGAGCTCGGCCTTTTGATGCCACCACAACCCCTGCAAAGAAGCAGACAAACTTCAGCTCCGCATTGGGAGTTTGTGGGTGTGTAGTTTGATCGGAGCTCGATGACCTTTTATCGCTCAAGAAGGAGAGCGGTGCACACATTGTATTCGGAACTTTCCTTGACGGACGCACATTCGAGATCCCCGAGCCCCCGCCACCACCACTGGCCGACCAGGCGGAGGGTGCCGAGGCGGAAGCGGCGCGCAACCTCCACCGAGAGTGTCTCAAGCGCTTCCGCAAGGAGTACAGCCAGCCTGTCCAGTTCAGGTGAGGCCCCGGCTTGACCCAGGTGTCGCACAAGCCCCGTGCAGTTTGCGGGGAAAATGCACTGAATTGAGGACGTCAAATACCTGAACAACCTCGAGGAAGAAGACGACGTGCACGAGAACTCCTCTGGGCAGCCGGGCAGCACAATTTCATTTTTTGTCATTTCATTTCATTTATTTTCACCTTAAGGGCCCGGTTAGGGCATTACATAAGGGGGGGTATATACATGTTATACAAACAAGAAAAGGAAGAAACACAAGCTAATTAACACATCCCGTTCAAGCTCATTAATCGTACAGACTGGCAAAAAATACTAATAACAAGCAAAATGAATCCGTAAGCTTGACAGAAATACTTCTGGGTCCACGATGGTGATGATGAAGGATGGTAGGCTGTTCCAGTCGGAGGTGGCTTGAGGAAGGAAAGACTGATTGAATGCGTTTGTGGAACCGGAGACACATTTGATTGTGCAGGAGTTGTTAAGACGAGAAGATGTTCTGTCAGGAGGTGATAACAAAGAGTTCTTGAGGTCGGGGCAATGATACAGTATAGACCACTTACAACGTAACCGCTTATAGTGCAGGACCGGGTATAACGCGGTTTTTTTAAACCACCGGTTCGCCTCCCATAGAACTCCATGTAATCACATACCGCTTAAAACGCAGGCGCGCGAAGGGAAATACCGTTTATAGTGCGGTTTCTGGCACAGCCCGCCGACCGCGCCGACGACCGGAGCAGCGAGCATGCTTCCCTGTGCGACTCTACATAACGGCGCTGACGGCGCGAGCCGCAAGCGTTGCGCAAGCGGCACTCGCGGGGCAAGGGGGTTGTTTGAAGAAGCGGGAGAAGCGAAGAGAGAGGCTTCAGTTGCCCTAGCGACGGAGCGACGCACGCACGTGTCGTCCACGTGCGTGCGTCCCTCCGCTGCGTTGGAAACCAACAACTCCAACAACCGCAATGACAGACCAATCGCAGGTCGAGGAGAAGTGTTCGAGCGCGTTGCATGAGCTCTCCTTCCCCCCCACCATCTTTCGCAACGCTTAGAAGAAGAAGAAGAGCGCCCAGTGCGTACACACTATTGGCTCTCTCCTTTCCCCCCCAACGTCTATTACAACGCTTCTCCTCCTCCTCCGGTCGCGGGCCGGCTGCTTCTATCCGCAAACATGGCGTCGGTTGTGGTCGACGTCGTGATCGTCGTCGTAGACGGCGTTCATCTCATCGTTCCGCGTAAAAGCGCTATCCTTGACTGTGAATTTTCGTTGTGTGTCGCTATGATAACCCAGCACATACTAGAAGGGAAGATCCACCTACTCGTGCGGCGATGTCGTGGCGGCGCTTTCAAGACGGCAGAAACGCCCGTGTCGTCGTGTTTGTTTACTTCGACTACAGTGGTGATTTCTAAGCATTTGTGTCCTCGAACATCGCCCGGATTTCTTATTTGGCGCATTTCATGCGTGTGCTCAAGTTCGAGGTATTAATGGCGCGTACCGTATGAAGGATGCGAATTTTCACGCGTTTTCATCTCCGGAGAAAAGTGATTAGGGTATTAGGGTTACAATCCTGAATGCTCGCAACGTCCATCCGCAATCCGCGACGCCGCTAAAAGGCTGCGCCAGGCAAAAGCCGCTCATTTCTTTCAAAATGTGTGACACAGATGAGAGAGAAATGTACTAGTCTGGTGAAAATAAAGACTTTCCTCAAACTAAGCTTTATTTTTCATCTAACATAAAGTAAATTCTTTTACAAAGGTAAGTTGTCTCATGGCATGTATTTTGGCCTGAAAAATTGATGTTTCGGTTATAACGCGGTACCGCTTATAGTGCGGATTTTCGCGACTCCCGCGACATACGTTATATGCGGTCTACACTGTAGTAGACTTTATGAAGAAGACAGTCGTCTGCCATGGCGCAATTCCAGAACATGCCTCGTCCTGTCGGAATTCCCGTTTCCAGTAACTAAATTAGTGAGATCGTCCAGTTATTTAACAGGCCGAGGAGCCTACGTACACAGCTTCAGTCTGCAGCCAAGCACCTATACTTGCATACCTTTGACGGCAGGGCCACAGAAATGTTGATAAGGTTAAATTTAAGTTCTGTGTTTCAGATTTTTTTTTTTTTTTTTTTTTTCAAACTTGAAAATGTACTACACTAGCTTAGGTGTAGGGGCAACGAGTGCGGCATGTAATGGTCCGACACTGAATACTTTAATCCTTCCACCCCCCCCCCCCCCCCCCCTCCTCCCCCCCCCCCCCCCCCCCCCCCCGGGGTCATATTAGTCTTAGAGCAACTCAGTATGGGTACCCTGCATGGACCTTGCTCGCTCGAGTTCATGTCGGTCACACTGTAGCGAATCCATGGGGTCTTTGCCACAGAGCGCAACTTTTGTTTTTACCATCATTGCACGCAACCTGCGGCAGAGTAGAGGAGAAGGGGGGGGGGGGGGGGGATAAGTGTTGTGCTAGCACGTCCCCCCTCTGCTGCACTTCAGTTGAATAATTTAGCAGGTGCGGAATTATTATGAAGTTCTGCTCGTTATAGACCCGTCTCTTCTTTTATAAAGCCCGTTTCTTCTTTTTCTGGCGTTCCTGCGCAGGGTGCTGAACGTGCTGCGCCATTGGGTGGACCACCACTACTACGACTTCGAGAGGGACGCCAGCCTGCTGGAGAAGCTGCGTGGCTTCCTGGACCGGGTCAAGGGCAAGAACATGCGCAAGTGGGTCGAGTCCATCAACAAGGTCGTCCAAAGGAGGGTGAGGCGTCCCCCTCTCTTGTGCCGTCCTCTCCACCGTGTCCCCTCTCCTCCTTTTTCGCTGGTACACTTTTCGGGCCTCGGAGGGGAAATGTTGCTGTCAAAGTTCAGATCGAATAATCTAGAGTCGTTCCACAGTCCTCGCTGCTGCCGTCATCCAAAACAAAAAAATTTGCCATTGTATTTCGATTTATCGACTGAACCGTCGTGTGCAGAATTGCATTTTGCGAGAAACGCGGAAGATGTTGACTTCAGTCTTAGCCTTCCAGGCGCGCAAAGCAGCATCCAGCGTCGCATGTCCTCTTTTCGTGGCATTTGTTTTTCTTGTATTTGAGGCTTTTCGCAGCTGGCAGAGGTTTCTCAAATCACTTTGAGAGTCTTCTCTCCCGCCTCTTCATTCAGTCTTTTCTTTTTTTCTTCAACAGTTGTGTTGTCTGGTCAACAGAGCTTGCGGCGCGGGTCGTTTACCTTGGCACACCACTTCTATGGGGCTAGAATTGGCTTCGATAAAAATGCAGTGATGCATTTACAGGCGGCCAGCATATCTAAATCGTGTGCTTGAGGCTGTCTTTGTAGCGGTGCCCAATGCCGGGAGAATGTCGCGTTTGACAAGTGCCATTGCCGTGCAGAAGTTTATTTGCGCGGTTCACCAGCATGCAAGAAAGCACAAAACTAAATCGAAACCCCAACTTCCGTATGTATTTACACAAATGCAGGCTGACCCATTTTAAAATTTTTTAAAATCTGAACGAGGGGGGAGTTGATTTAGGATCGGAACCAGAGAATTCTACCGCCGGCAAAGCCGAAACAACCGCGATATCGGGAACACCTCTGTTTCCTATGGATTCAGCCGGCTGCGTCTGTAGCATTGCGCCATTCTGTGCGCTCGTTTTACAATTCTTTTCTTTTTTTTTTACAGCAATAGGTGTTATGGTCTTTTCTCACCACTGGAAATGTTGTCTGTCGTTGATGTTGGTGTAGTTGTTGTTGTTGATGTTGTAGTTTGCATAGTAGGGCGTCCGTTGCTGATGTTGCCGAAGCCTTCAAAAATATTGTCCGCTGCCCACAGGAATCAAACATGGGTTCACTGCATGGCGAAACAGAGGCATTACCACAGAGCTGTGCCAATACTTAGTTTTTAACGCAATAGTGTTAGGGAGCTGGTGTCGCAGAAAAGCTGGGGATGGTGGCGTGACGGGAAAATCCTGATTGGTCGATAGGGTCACGACGTCACAGCCACATGACCTCGCACGGGAGTTTCAAACAACCTGCAACGCTGTCGTGAAACGTGACGTCAAGCATAGAATGATAGTGATTAAAACGTGACATGTAGTCCGAATTTAAGGTCGCCGCATGTCTCAATTGATTTCACGTTATAAGGCGATTCATTTGCCTTAAAGAAAGATTTGAAGAATTTTAGGCGGGATTCGAACCCACGACCCTTCAGTTGCCAGCCAGACGCGCTACTGTCTAGGCTGCACAAGGCACGCTTGCACAGCGAATGGGAAGGCGATGCGATCGGGGCCTGATAAGGCCATGGCGTTCCACTCTTAAAGGTGAAGCTTGAGCGTCCTTCAAGTTTTGTAGTACTAGATGCCCACCGCACGCGCTCTCTGAAAAAAAATATAGCTTACTACAAAATGTCGTCGCAGCACTGTTGATGCCAAGAGCTCGTGCCAAGAGCCACGTTTTCACGGGCTTCGGAACAAAAAAAGAAACGAGCGTTTTCAGAACAAAATGGCCAGATGTCTATATTGTTCCGAACACACCTGGTCACGCGCCCCACAATGCACGAACGCGATGCCAATGCCCAACAACCTCCCGATGACTTCTCGCAGCTATCGCTGTGACCGTACTTTGGATTAACTCTGGACTGCTAAAATTTTTTATCTGCGGAAACGAGTGTAACGATCACGTTGATCGCAACGCACAAACCGACACGAATTCACGGCGGCAGACAGCGTGCGGTTGACCGCGTTTTGCAGCTGGCGCGCCGAGTCTCTGGCGTGGCGGCACTCGACGTAAGAGAGACGCCGGAACTGCTGCAACGGCCGCTGGAACAGCCTCACGACATCACCCCCTGCCGCTTTTTTCTGCACGGTCGCACATTGTTTGACCGAGAGTTGAAATCGTGCGACCGTGCTGGAGGGCCAATTATGTTTCTCTGTATTGACACGCGTGGTCCGGGCAGTTTAGGTTTTCGGCGCTCGTTTACGGCCGTTCTACATCCGAAAGAAACCGACAGCTGCGCCTCTAAATGCGAGTTCAACCTGTCGGAGTGAGTGGTGCACCATGGGCATCTGCAAGAGCACTCCCGCATAAGTGTTCACAATGATAGGATTGTTCTCACCTTCAAAGGGAAGTATGAATTCCCTCTTTTTCTTCTCTTTGCAGAGCGAGCAGCAAGACGAGCCTCGGGAGATCACATTCAGCTACGAAAAGAGTCCGCCCCACATAGAATGGTTCCTGTGCAGCACTCCAGACAAGTTCGACATTCTCACTGTGAGTGGACGGCCTACATATTGGCACGCGTGCGTCGGGGTTTGCAGGCAGGGCACATGGCTTTCGTGCTGAAGAACAGGGTTTGAATCCTACCGGCGTAGCTTGCACCTTTTCGTTACCTCTCCGGAAAGTTCCGATTAGTTCTTGTCAGGTGTAGTGTGTCCTCGTTCAGATCCATCCTGAATGTTGAGCAGGTATTAAGCGGGCTGTAGCACGCTGTGTCGTGTTGGTCTTTCACCAGCGCCTGATCCTGCCGTGTCGCGCTCAATCCACCCGCAACGCAAATTATTGCATTTTCGTTTCTGTTGCACTTTGTGTTAGGTGGAAGCCAATTTATTGTATTTCTGCTTTGGCACGAGTTCGCCGCATTAAAGGGACACTGACACCCCTTAAAAAAAATATTTTCATGTTGTGCCAAGCGATTCATTATGTTGTCATTAATGTTTTGCTACAGAGTCACGTATATGTTTAATAAAGCCAAGAAACGCAACTGCTCCAAACAAAAACCGAAACCTGCATACGGAGGTCGGAGAAATATAGAGGAGGAGAGATAGTTGGGCCCTGATATGTCATGTACAACTAAAAACCTTGGCGACCATAAGTACCCTGTAAGTGACCCTTTAAACTTTTGATTTTCTCAGTTATTTGTTGTTTTGTCACTTGTCCTCAGTAACTATGCTGCGGCGTGTCGGTGTTTATGGGCTTAAATCTCTGGACGAAGGACGTACCTGCCCACAAGTTGCTGTCTTTTGCTGCAGAGCCTTGTACTACAGAGAGGAGATGTGGAGAAGGCGCCTGCGAAGTCGCATGTTTTGCTGGCGGTACTCTTGTGCAATCCGCTTGTAACGACACCACATATAACTATGTACTGCTTATAACGATCAATTTCTAGAGTTTCTAGACTGGAAATGATCAGTTTCTAGTCCAGATACAGCGATAATCATAACTATGTACTGCTTATAACAATCAATTTCTAGAGTTTCTAGACTGGAAATGATCAGTTTCTAGTCCAGATACAGCGATAATCGATAATAGCGATTGAAATTTCGGGTTTTGTCATTATCATTATAAGTGGGTTGCACTGTATACAGTTTTGAGCTAGACTCGGTGGATCACTTGTGCAACCGAGGTGACTAGATGTGCCGGCGTTTCTAAAAAAGTGCAAGTCAGCACGGCCGACAAGAGAGTTCTCAGTCAGACAGACTTTGTCGTGACTGGTTGGTGGGTTCAAATCCCAGCAGAGGGGCCTGTTATTTTTTGGTGACTTATTGCAAAGAATGCGCTATGTGACAGAGATTACTGTTGCCCGTCGGGAGGTCCCCAGTGTTCAAAATGCTTCTCAGTCCTTCATCGGGGATTGCGAGAGGCCCTTCGCTAGCTTGGCAGTAAACCAGCAAAAGCTTTTTTTTTAAATCGCGGGGGGCATAACTTCTGTTTGAAGCGCGCTTTTAAAACATTTCAGCTTCTGCTTCTCAGTCACCAAAAGTTACGACTCTCAACCCTGGCGACGTTCAGCCCGAATAATCAAACCTTGCTCAAAGCCGTCTCATACTGCCACTTGGAAAGGGCGCCAATCGTGGTTGACTTGGTTCAACGTTAGTTTGTGGCAGCACCAACCCCACGTTTAGCCATTGGTTGGGCTGGCAATTCCGATGAACTTCCGTTTTTTCGTTTTGTATGTGGGTCTGCCCTGCTCTTGGGACGTGCACCGGAACTCCCCGCTAATCGGAATGGGTGCACTCAAGTCGGAATCTGATAAAAGTGTGTCCAAACACTGCACAACCTGGAGAGTGTGTTTTAGGTTTCTGTTGCTAATTCGGGGTATTGGCATTTGTTTCCCCGGCTAAAAGTAGATAGGAGGAGGCTGGGGTGACAGCACCCTAGCGGGGCATTGCCGATTAGATTACAGCTGGTGATAACGGTCTATTTGTGGCAAGGAGTGAGAAGGGTGACTTTGCGACGCATTTTCTCTTTGTCAAAGAAAACTCTGCAGACATAATGGCTTCTTGTTTTGTGCCTCGGAGGACCATGGGTTGTGTGTCTGCCATATGTTGCGGCGATATGCCCAAAAGATTTGTTGTGTTGAAAATGACGGGTTTTGCAAAGTCTGAATGCTGTAGAACCTGCAGAATACAGTGTAGACTGCATATAACGTATGTCGCGGGAGTTGCGAAAATCCGCACTATAAGTGGTACCGCGCTATAACCAAAACATCAATATTTCAGGCCAAAATACATGCCATAAGACAACTTACCTTTGTAAAAGAATTTATTTTATGTTAGATGAAAAATAAAGCTTAGTTTGAGGAAAATCTTTATTTCACTAGACTAGTACACTTCTCTCTCAAGTGTGTCACACATTTTGAAAGAAATGAGCGACTTTTGCCTGGTGCAGCCTTTTAAGTTTTAAAGGGGAACTCCGCCGATTTCTTCATTTTCCCCGATTTGCTTGAAATTTTGCTAAACTCGCCAAACAACATCGCCAAAATAGTATCCCAAATATTAGGTCAAAATAATTTTTTTTCACGAAGTTATTGAATTTACAATTTTGGTCCTCACCGTGTTTTTCAAACTGAAAGTCTCTACTGGCAACAATGAAAAAGTGACGTCATTGGAAGTGCAGGGGTTCACTCTTTGGACTGTAGAATTTGTTCCCAACTGATTTGAAGCAGTTTCATGGTGTCAAATGAATGCTTTGGGAGCTCGCTCCAGTCCCCGCGCTCCATCACGGAACAAATGATTGACATATTCTATTTTTTAGACTGCTCGCCCGACTGGCAAGCTGACCTTCCAATGACGTCACGGCCCTGAAAAGGGCGGGTATATTTGAATGTCTGTTTTTGCATGATTTTCATTTGCCGATTTCGCAATAACTATTATGAATTTCACGATACTAAATAGCATACCAGAAAGGGTAAAGGCCGGGGAGTCAGAAAATATAGTTAGTTGAGGTAGCTCAAAAATCGGCGGAGTACCCCTTTAACGGCGTTGCGGGTTGCAGACGGACGTTGCGAGCGTTCAGGATCGCTAACCCTAATCACTTTTCTCCGGTGATGAAAACGCGTCAAAAATTTGCATCTTTATATGGTACGTGCCAGTAATACCTTCAACTTGAGCACAGGCATGAAGTGCTCCAAATAAGAAATCCAGGCGATGTTCGAAAACACAAACACTGTAGTCGAAGTAAACAAACACGACGACATGGGCGCTTCTGCAGTCTTGATAGTGCCGCCACGACATCGCGGCACGAGTAGGTGGATCTTCCCTTCTAGTATGTGCTGGGTTATCATTGCGACACACAACGAAAATTCACAGTCAAGAATAGCGCTTTTACGCGGAACGACGAGCTTCCACCACGCCGTCTACGTCGACGATCACAACCGACGCCATGTTTGCGGATAGAAGTCGGCCCGCGACCGGCATGCAACGCTCGCGAACACTTCTCCTCGACCTGCGACTGTTCTGTCGTTGCGGTTGTTTCCAACGCAGCGGAGGCAGCGGAGGGACGCACGCACGTGAACGACATGTGCGTCCCTCCGTCGCTATGGCAACTGAAGCTTCTCTCTTCGCTTTTCCTCGCTTCTTCGAGCAACCTCCTTGCCCCGCGAGTGCCGCTTGCGGCTAGCGCCGTCAGCACCGTTATCTGGTGTCGCATAGGGAAGCGTACTCGCTGCGCCGGTCGTCGGCGCAGTCATTGGGCTGTTCCAGAAACCGCACTATAACCGGTATTTCCCTTCGCGCACCTGCATTTTAAACGGTATGTAATTACATGGAGTTCCATGGGAGGCGAACCGGTGGTTTAAAAAAGCCGCGTTTTACCTGGTCCTGCACTATAAGCGGTTACGTTGTAAGTGGTCTATACTGTACTACCGTGAGGTTGGGGTCTAATGTGCCACACAAGTGGTCCTAGCAAGAGAACCCTTTGATACTATTACTTTGGTTATTACTTTGGAGTTACTTTGGTTACTGCACTGGCCCTCTGGTTTTCATTTGACTTCATACATTTGTTTTGGCAAATATGTAACTCTGTAGTGAAACGTTCATTGGACAACGTCTTGAGATCGTACAAAAATGCTTCACGCAAAATAAAAAACAAAATTTTTTTAATGCAGTATGTTTTACACCTCCGGGAGCAGTGCGACACGACTCCACGAAAAGGGCCGCATCCCTGTCAAATTTAGCGAATTTCTATCTGTCTCAATTTAGAGGGCATCGTTCACGTGGCATCATCAGCGTTACATGGTCACGTGACCCAATGCACCAATCATGTTGCATGACGTCGCGTCATGTGGCGTAAAGCCGGCATCGCCCGACTCTATGCGACGCAATGCAGCAAAGTGCAGCACCACGACATTGTTGCGTTGCAGTGCACGTTTTACCCAGCTCCGAAGATATTGCCTGTTCTTTGTCTCTCCGCTAGGATAAAAAATGAACCAATTTTTGGAAAGGGGGTTATTAGCGTCTTTAGCGTGGCATCCCCCAGACTCTGCTACCGTGGGCGTTCCAGTTGGCAACAGCGCCTGCGACGGGGCACGCTCAGTTGTGTCCCCCGGGGCTCTCGTTGCATGTGCTGGTGCTGCAGCTGCACCCCATCGAGATCGCTCGGCAGCTGACCCTTCTGGAGTTCGACCTGTACCGGGCAGTCAAGCCCTCGGAGCTTGTCAACGCTGCCTGGACCAAGAAGGACAAGCACAAGACCTCCCCCAACCTGCTCAAGATGATCCACCACTCGTCCAATGTGAGCCCCACCTCCCTCCTATGCCTTGTTACGTCCGTTTTCTTTTTACAGCGATAGCTGTTATACAATCTTCCCACCACTGGAAGTGACGTCCGTTGATGTAGTTGTGGTAGTAGTAGTGGTAGTATTTGTGGATGTAGTAGTCCTAGTTCTACCGTAAAATTCCGAGCAAGCCCCCCCCCCCCCCCCCCCCGCCCGCACGCAAGTCAAAATTACTTGCACAGTGGGGGGGGGGGGGGGGGGGGGGCTACATTGGAACGGCATCTAAATTCAAGATGGCGACGACAAAAGTTTTCCGCCAAAAAAAGAAAAGACAGCGCAGTGCACACAAATCACAAATTTGATTTATCTCTGAGAATGTATGCTTTATCAGGCCAAAGATTTGCACTTTCAAAACCACCAAAAGACTCCTTAGAGTCAGTTGCAAAAAAAAGTTTGGAGCATTCCGCAATGTTTCCCAACTGCATGCCGTTGGCTATTTTGACAGCCTCTTCAGAAAGAAGCTGGTTGCTAATGGCTCGTTCTGCCCTTCTTTCGCGCTCCAGGTATTCAAAGTGTGCGTCGTCCATGTATTCACTGAACACTGGCGTGCCGTTACTTAGCTTTTGTCGAAGTTTGGCTTTCCCGTAGTTTGGCTGTAGCAAATTGTCAAAATTCTTGTCCCATTACCGTATCCGGTCGAGCTTGATGTGTCCAGACGTCTGTTGTACGTTTTTCCCGTTTTCACAATGCCATTAGACAACCTTGATTTTCTTTGCCATTGTGTAGGAATGCATAGCCGACCTGACACCCCCAAAACAAAGCGACAATGTCGCGCAATTGGGCTGGAAAGTAGGATTGGATTGGATTCTTGGACTGAATTTCGCAAGCCAGTGTTGCCTGGGCGCGGTCAGCGCGGTGCGTGATACGGGTCCGCGAGCGGGGAGGTGGGCGCTTTTCCGGAACGGCGCGGAAATGTGAAATTAGCAGTGAGGTTGGGGGAGGCTCTTGCTCGGGTGGGGGCGCTTGCTCAGAATTTTAGGGTAGTGGTTGTTGTTGCTGTTGTTGTAGTTGGCGTTGTAGGGTCTGCGTTGTCGATGTTGCCAAATCCTTGAAAAATATTGCCCGCCACCCACAAGGATCGAACCTGGGTCTGCGGCATGCGAAGCAGAGGTGTTTTTACAACCCGCTATATACTTAAGTTTTTGTAGTTCCCAAAACCCACCGCATGCAATCTTGGAAAAAAACAATAGCTGATAAGAAAATGCTGTTGCAGCACTGTCAATGCTAAGAGCTCGTTCCGGGGGATGCGCTTTCACGCTCTCCGGTACAAAAAAGAAACAAGCGTTCCGAGCAAAATGGTCAGATGTCTATTTTGCTGATGCAACCCGCAACGCGTCAACGCGACGTTGGTGCCCAGCGACTTTGCCGTGACACGTCGCAACTATCGTTGTGACTGTAGTGTAAATTAATACAGAACTGCCCAATTCTTTTTATCACAGATTGTGTTTTATTAGCTAAATTCCACGAGAAAACCATCATGAAAGACTGACATCACATGATACCATGACATGCTCATGCCATCATGACATCATAACGTCATGTCATAACATTGCATGATGTCATCATGACGGCATGACGTCACGACATTATAAGGCCATGCGACTGTGACATCACATAAAATTGTGATGTCATATGAAATCATGACGGCGTTTGACGTCGTGGTCATTTGACCTCAGGAGTTCACACACTCATAGTATGTGCTCAGCTCATTCACAACACGATCCGTGTTCTCCTGCCTTTACTCTGTTGCACTCTGTTGCAGGTTAAGAAAAGCAGGACAAGCACCTCCTGCAAAGCACTCTGCTCTTTCCACTTTAGCAGAGCAAATGCTGGAGAGGAGGTGAGAGGAGGAGAGTCTACCTGCCTTCTCTCCAGCATTTCCTCTGTTAAAGTGGCAAGAGTAGGGGGCCTTGTGGGAGTAGCTTGTACCGCTTTTCTCCAAGACCGACCCACAGAGTCGTCTTCTGCCGGGCAGAAATCAGGTTCCCAGTGTCCTTCCTTCTCTCATTCCCTTTCACTCTCTTCTCTCCTCCTCTCCACACGGGGGGCAAGTTTCCGAGCTGCTCCCTGCAGAAAGGAGGAGGGTCCCCCTTTTTCTCGAATGGAGGGGAGGAATGGAAAGGAGAGTTCTCTCGTTTCTGGCTGCCTGCGAACCTTTAACCTGAAACTGAGCGCAGTGGAATCTTTTTCTTTTTTTTTTTATGGCAACGGACGGTCTTGGCAGGGTTTTGCAGCGGATGCCTGGGTGCGTTCCCTCTAGGGCACAGGCTTTCAAACTGGGTTCCCAGGCACCCAGAGGTTTCCCAGAGTGCACTCGTGTGTTCTTCGAGCTAGGGAATTTCCTCAACTGTCCCTAAGTAAAGTGTGCTTGCAGCTTGAGTGCTATTCGAGCTGATCTGAGCCATTAATTAGCTGAGGTGTAACAATGAGCCGAGCACTCCCCGGTATACACATAATTGTTTACGAGGTCTGTAGACTTCCGTAACGCTTTACTAAATCAATGCCGAGACTTGGGAGATTTCCCCGTGGCCGAGTTGAGAAGGCACCGACATTACGTTTGCTTGGAGCGCCTCTCTGCACGCTGCGTTTACCGCGACCTCAAATGCGGTCCCTCGGATTTCCACTCGACGATGTAGCGGAAGTGTCGCGTCGCAGCAGTGGTGGCGGGTGTGGCAAGTGTCCAGTTCGAACGTTGTACAGAAGCTTTAGTAGCGAAGAGTCAGACGCCGTGACGCGGTCGTTCATATTTTTTGCCGGGAACTCTTGGGACCACGACACCTGACAGAACGACTTGCTGGCTTCTGCGACATCGTTTGTTGCCACATTGGCACCACTTTTGGTGTTATGACGGGATAGGACGCTAAGCGCGCCAGTCGGAGACCTGTTCGCCATAGCAGCATCTCGGGATAGCCGTACTCTGCCTCGGAACCCACATTCTTTCCTTCATCTTTTGCAGTTCTCGTTCTGGCTGGAGCGGTGCATAGTGGAGACGGACAACTTTGAGGAGCGCGTGGCGGTGGTGTCTCGGATGCTGGAGGTGATGCTTGTCCTCCAGGAGCTGAACAACTTCACGGGCGTCTTTGCAGTCTCCAGCGCCATGTCCAGCGCCTGTGTCCACCGGCTGGAGCACACGTCAGGCGTAAGTGGCTTCTAGACGCGCGCCCGCGTCTCCGGCGAGCAGCGGGGCTTCAGCCACGGATTTTATTGCGGAACGGGTTTTAGGGCCGGTTGCAAAGCCTCGAGCGTCTTCAAACGTTACCAGTTAAGGCTAGTTCGCGCACAAATGCGGATGGAAGCCTCGTGACACGCAGTGTACGCAAGAAGGCACCTTTGGCGGCCTTTCGGTCGCTCATTCACAAGCGTCGGGAGACTGCGAGTCTGCCAGAGGTGTCTTCGCCCGCATGTTGCACGTCCTCGAGGCTCGTCGGTGTCGGTCGTTTCCGTCTGTCGCTCTAGTGGGACTCTCAGGTGTGACGACGAGAAGACACGCTGCGCCATTTCTGAGGTGGCCTTAGAACTGTGTTTCGCTTGAGCGAATGTTTTGGAATATTTGCGAGATCAGCCATGCATGCCCCATCATCTATCAGAAACAGTTGTTTGTGACTTTATCAAAAGGTTTACGAGCCCATAGTAAAAAAAGTGCTACAACAAAAATACTTATATGAAAGTTGCAAGTGCTCCATGGCTATTTAACAGACGGCGTCAGTGCGTTCTCTCATCGTAAGAGATCACAAGCAAGACTGCACAGCAGTCTTGGTTGTAACCAGACACGAGTGTGTTTAACCGGCCTTTAGTCAGCCACAATGGGAGCCCGGCATCTTCGCTGTAGTTGAGAAATCTTGCCAGTGCAGTACAGCCGCTAGGCCAGGGTCTTTAGCGTGCACCACGGAGTAGCGATTATGCTAAAACACACCGGTTCGATGCTCGTCTCGATCAAAGTGGACAGGGACAAGGATCAAACGCGGGAGCTTAGTCCGCACTTACACTTTTACGAAAGTCGGGCTTGTGCACTCACCAAGACACGGGCGCACGCTCAGTACCTTACAGTGAGCGTAGACCGTCATGCCCTGAGGCCCGTCCCCGCGCCGCTTGTGCAGGCCATCAAGTGCAATCTGAAGAAGGCGCTGGACGAGGCCTTCGACCTCCAGTCGGACCACTGCCGGAAGTACCAGGAGAAGCTGCGCTCCATCAACCCGCCCTGCGTGCCGTTCCTGGGTGAGTGCCTCGGGCCAGAACCGCTCGGATTGGCTTGGATCGGCAAGGATTGCAGAGATCGGCAGGAGAGCGCGTTTCTGGCCCTCGGAACGGCACGGACGTGCCGGAAGTGCTTGGATTGACTCGGACGGGCAAGGATTTCATAGATTGGTGGGAGAGTTGCTTTCTCGAGCTGGAGCCTTTTGGCGAGCCTTGGGACGGCAGCGACGCCTTGTTCTAGTCGCCGACGAGACGAAAACGGCGTCCCCTATTGAAGTTCAATTTCTAGCGCGTGCTCGTTGCCTTCCACCATACTTTGGCCGAGCAGGAATGCTGGAGGCTATTTGGACAACGAAGCATTGTCGATGGTAGGAAGCTCGTACCGGGGGGGCGGGAAACCAAAGGACCTCCCCACTTTTCTCGTCTCGGCTGTGGCTATGTGGTGCAAGGCGGGTCGAGAGATTATTAACTCGTATGAATATTCCCAGGCATGTACCTGACCAACATCTTGCACATCGAGGAGGGCAACCTGGACTTTCTGCCCAACCACGAGGGCCTCATCAACTTCAGCAAGCGCCGCAAGGTGGCCGAGATCACCGGGGAGATCCAGCAGTACCAGAACCAGCCCTACTGCCTCACCAGCCAGGCGGACATACGGGTTGGTGGGGTCTTCGTATGCTCTCTTCTGTGGCGCTACCACGGCACCCAGAACACTTCCCCCAGCGGCGTTTGCTCGTACCTTTTGCCGGGACTTCTTCGACCGACTGCCGAGGTCAAGACGTCCAGCGGAAGGACGCGCCGGCTCTTGTGGCATCATTCGTTGCCACTCCGGAACTCCTTTTGAGGCACGGGCGCGGTATGGGACGCTAAGCACACTGGTCGAGTGTGCGTTCCGGGTGCCATAGCGGCGAGATGCCGCGGGTTTGACCCATTGCTGTCGAAGCGATTGTGTTGGCAGGCGGAATAGTATTGCACAAAGTGTGCAGCGGCTTCCCGAGTCAATCGTATAAATCTGCCACGAAGTCCTATTCACATGTGCAGCACGGCGCTGAAATAACGAAAAGGCGGCACCGCAACAATGCTACTGTCAGCTCTTGCTCGGCATCGAGTTAGCTCTGCATTGCGCACGGTTAAAGGAAAAGATCAGGTAGCGCGTGGCGGAGCACCGATACAGTGCAAAATCGGCGCTGTGTCTATTCGGAGAGCAAGTCGTCCACTTTTTGCGCAGGGGTTACAGGGACGTCGGAACGACGCCGAGTTCTGATGGGCTTTGATTAGAAGGATTATGGGTAATACCCAAATGTTCGATGCCTCGACAAGGTCTACCCACTATTTTTTTCAGTCGGCCAATAAAAGCTAGACTTTCCGAAGCGATCGCAACCCCCGTGCAAGAAGCAGACAAACTCGCATTCCGCATAGCACTGTACTCGTGTGTGCGTCTGAACAGGTCTTCGGTAATAGCAGCCGTAAGCGAGTAGAGTGTCCAAGCCGCGAAAGACGCGACAGTCGGTGGGCACGTTGTTGACGCGCGCTTTCCCGCAGCAATTCCTGGAGAGCCTGAACCCCCAGGAGAGCTTGACGGAGAAGGAGTTCAACGACTACCTGTACGCCAAGTCCCTGGAGATCGAACCCCGGGGCTGCCGGCAGCCACCCAAATTCGTGAGTGTGCGACGGTCGTGGCATCGCGAAAAGGAACCAGCGCGCCTGAAATCCGACGCGTTTGGGGACTGACAATTGACGAGGGTGTTGCGGGAAACTGGTTCGAGAAGCATTTTAATGGCGGCAAAGCGGTGGCGTGGGCCAGTCGGTCCGTCGTGCACTAGAAATGTGGCGTGTCCCGATTTGACCTTCTTTGTCCTTGTGTTCCTCTTGGCACTTTTCTCTGGTAAATGTTTCAACGGAATGGGTGTCGCCTCCATGTCTTTGTGCGCTCCGACACGTGGGCCAAGATGCTGCTTTATGTTCACAGAGAGATTTTTCAGTTTGTTTAACCTCAAGAATTGTGTAAAAAGGAGCTTCTTAGCTCGCAAACTACATGCTGCTCCGATTTTCTTTTTTGACGACAGCGGCAGAATGTCATGTCGCACATTTTCACGCTGAGTTGCTGAAAGGAAAATAAATTTTAAAAATTGGCCCCAACCTTTATCTTTAGGTTAGCCCCATAATTAGGGTTCCGCATGTTCGGATAAGCCCGAAAAAGCTCCAAAAAACACCCGCCTGTAATTTGTCCGTCAACGTCCTGAACGTTCGTTCAGGACGTTGACGAGACTTTTGGGTCACGACAAAGGAGGACCCTCCTTTGTCGTGACCCAGATTTTTTTGTTTTCGTGTTACGAAGCGTAGAAGCCGCAGTGGCAGAAACTAGTATTTTTGCCTGTTGTCACAGGTCGCGTGTTTGACACCCTCACTGGTGCTGGTTGTTTTCCTCCACCCTCTTATCTTTTTCCCCTCATTTAATAGGCACTATAAAGATACCTTGATGTATTCAAATATTTTTAGGAATTTTATTTTTTTCTAAGCTAAATGTCAAACTTGTCGTTCAGGTCGATTTTTTTTCAACTTTGACAGGCCCTTACTTTGTCTGTACTTAAAAAGTAGTTTATTGAAGTAACACTTGTTTTCAAGATATGTCGTGGGACAGTACTGCCAATAGCTGAGGTGCCAGTGCCAAATGCGGGTGCAAAAATGTCTTTCAGTGCCGGTGATTTTTAACGAATTCAGTGTACATTTTTGTCCGGACATTATTTATTTTTATTGTGAAAACAATGGGTACAAACCCCGAATTTCCAATGAGAAATAAAATCCGTAAAACCGCCTTTGAATTTCACGAAAAATGAACTGCGAAAATGCAGAACCCTAGCTATAGATGAGACGGGCAGCAAGTCCGCTTCCCGTTGTGTAGAGACAGAGGTCACCGCCATCTGCATCGTGCCGAGTTTTACTTGGGCCCATCGGCAGGAGGTTCGTCGAAGTAGGTCGTCGTGCCCAATCCCTGATCGGTTCGCTGAGGCTCGTTTTCCCCGGTTCCCCAGCCCCGCAAGTGGCCAGACCTCCCGCTCAAGTCGCCCGGGATCAAGCCGAGGCTGACGCGGTCGGGGGGCAGCCACCAGGTGCTGCCCTCCTGGGGCGGTGCCCCTGCACCCCCGTCGGAGGGGGAGGACGCCACGCCCCCCACCAGCCCCTCCACCCCGCTGACTCCGCCCTACGGGGCGTCCCTGCACAGCGACAGCAGCGTCTTCGCCCCCGTCCTCATCGGCGCGGGTAAGCCGGCGTGACCTGAATTTCCGGGTGTGTTGGACTTCGATGCGAACGACGACGTAGTTCACACGATGAACTGCACCGCGACCGCCCGTAACCTCTTGTGACGAGAGTAGTCACTGATGCCACTTTGGGGCAGCCTTGGAACACTCCCAATCTGCCTATATTTATGCGTTGTTCTGTCACTACGTTCTTGAAATAATTCTCGTTGTGTTATAAGTAGGGTTTCATTTACTTATAAATTTGTTTCCGGATTTATAAGTAAATCCGGAAAATCCTGAAAAACGCTTGCAGGTAAAATATTTGTTAATACGGACTTGTTTGCCATACTCCTAATTTCGATGTCCCAATGAGAAAAAAAAGAGACGGTATTCAACAATCAAGTTTGGTCAGAGCACCAGGTCAATCACCCTGAAAAAATGTGCCTCCAGTTTTTTTTTTGTTTTTTTTTAATAAATCACTGATTATTGTTAAAAAAGGGTCTTACCGTTTAACTCGTCGAGGTTCGTTCAAGGCAACGGGTCCTGGTACGATCACGACAAAAGCCATTGTTCCGGTTTTCCAGTTTGGGTCATACTATTTGTATCTTTTTTGAGGAACGTAGGGTTGTGTTGTTGTAACAGTGAAAGCTATAAACCATTGAGATTTCATAGAAGGAGGCAGGGGTGCAGTTAAGGCTTTCATATTACACCCTTTACTACACCCCTCGCAGCTACGGGGTAGGGTGATTGAATGGGACGGGAGAAAAACGAGCGTCCCAGCGACTACCTCCAGGAGTTCAGTGACCTTAAAGGGGCACTGGCACATCAAAATCATGATTTTTTTTTTATTATCTGAATTGATTGAAAACGATGCCGGGACATTACCCTCAAAATTTGAAACTTGGGAATTCTGCATTTGTGAAGTAAAACAACAATTTCCAAATGTCGAATGCGAAGTTCCTGCGCGATCCGCGCCAGTGCGGTGACGCCAAATATTGCGTAGTCCTGCGAGTAAACTTTTTTTATGCCTCCGCTCGCTCCAAACTGCCGTTGGCCATTGCCACCGCGACCTGAAGCGAGCAGGTGAGGATTGGGAGAGGAGGGCACCGGCGGACTGGGAAAAAACAGTTTCTTCGTCCAGTTCCCTGACTCACCGATCATGCTCGGCTATGTGCGTCGAGCGCCGCCAATTTTTCCGAGGAGGATACAAATCCAGGAGGCGACGTCACACCAGACTGATTTTTGGTATTTCAAAAAGAAGGGCCATTGTGCGTTCGCAGATGTCGCCCACAAAGCTTCTAAATTTCATAATTTTTGACGTCGCAAATAAAAAAAAAGCGAGGTGAGGAGCGGGAGAGAAACACCAAAAATGAAAAGGAGCGTGCGCGCGCGCAAAAAGATTTTTTTTTTTGCGATCTGTTTTTTTTTTTTTTTGCGTGTTTATGACTACAATTTGCATTGTTTTATACAATAAAAAGGAAATACAACCTTTGGGGGGTCAGTGCCCCTTAAAGGTGTCAAACTTTATAGAAGAAACGCTCGTTTGCAAGTTTTGTTGTAGGGTAGACTACTAGCAATGTCAGTGGCAAGGGCACCAAATCCAGCTGAAGAAATATTCTTTGGCGCATGTTTACACCCAAATAATATTTGATTATTCTTGTAATGTTTTTTTATAGAAAGCGTCGCAAAACTAGTCTGAATTGCAGAAATTAGAAATTTGACAAAAATAAATTTCAGAATTTTCAGCAAAAATATAAAATCCGAAAAACACCCTCCGACTGACGAAAATGAACTCTGAAAACACAAAACCCCAGTTATAAGAGACCATTTCTCATAGATAGTGTGTAGATTCAATCTACACACTATACACCAAATAGACAGATGGTTCCAGTTAGTATTTCTAGAGATTTGGGGCACGCACTTTGTTTTCCTAGGTTTCCAAAGTGCCTCCAACTTCAACGTGCCTGTGCGGTTTTTCGGTTTCTTGTCTGCATTTTCGCTCCGCCAGTCTTGCGCCTGTAGCATGAACTTTCGCACATCCACCACACTCTTGCATGCTCTCTGCTTTTCTACAACTTACTGGTTTACTAGCTTTTGATGATGCTCGGCAATTTTCCAATAGAAACCATGTTCATTTTTAGAAACCAAGTAGCTGATTACCAAAAGAAACCAAAAGCTGATTACCAAAAATTGAGGACTTAGATGCCTATAATACTTTGTACCTCGCTAAATTGACCGTTTTGCAGTGACTAATAAACACCGGTCTATTTTCTCCGTGATGCATAGTTTTTGCGGGTAAAATATGTTCGGTAAAACACCCGGCTAGGTGTGGGTGCACCCTTCGTCGGGATTCGGTAGAAGCACAGCCTCTAAACCGCACCTCCTCGTTCCTCCCACAGCGCTGTCATCTCCCGTTGCACCGTCGGCCCCGCCCTCCCACCCGCCCCCTCCGCCCCCACCCAACCTGTCTACCCTGGCCCCCCTGTTGCCCCCACCGCCCCTGCCACCGCGTAAGAAGCGGGAATCGTCCACTTCCTCTTCGTGCGACCCCTCTTCGCCCACCGGGACCATCTTCTTTATGGAACCCCCAGAGGAGGCTCCGCCCCTGCTGCCCCCCAGGGACCCGACGCTATCCAGGGAACCGCCCCCTCCACGGGACCCGTCACCCCCGCCCCCCCTCCCGCCCCGGCGGGACGGGGGCTGGACCCTCCCGCGCACCCCTCCGAGGGGGGCGGAGCAGCGGACTCTCTCCCGCCGCAACTCCGCCCACAACGGAGACCTGGCGGCGCTCTTGGGGGCAGGACCCGGCCCCGCCCCCAGGAGGGAGCTGGGGCCAGTGTCTCCGCCCCCACTGCGACCGCCTCCGTCCAGCACTCCACAGCTGCCCCCCAAGACCCACAGGCAGCCACAGCTCGTGGTGAACCACAACGCCAGGTAGCCCCGCCTACCTACTGTGGAATGCTCTGCCCCCTCCGGAATGCCCCGCCCCCTTCGGGGGGGACGCTTCGACGTGAGTGGACCAACCAACGCCCCCGCGGGTTGCCATGTTTCCGGAGGGTGTCTGCCAGCGGCGGAAATCCCGGCCCCCCCCCCCCCCCCTTCCCCCCACGGGACGTCCCGCCCCCCTCCCCTGTCGCGACGTGCTCCAATCCTGGTGGAGCGGGCGGGGTGCCTCCCCCTCCTCGGTGTACATAGCCCAGTGCCTGCGAATTGGTGGGACCGGAGCCCGCTTGTGATTTGTTTTTCCCGTTTGGGAGAGGACACGGAAAGTGCGCCGTTTGCATGGAACGCAGGTAATTTATTTGCCCAAATAAAAAAAAAAGGGGCGGCGACCAGGAAAGCCTTGCGTGTGGTCACGGGGCACGGAACAGAGCTTGAACCCGGGACAGCAGAGCCTTGCCCGCTGCGTGCTGGCTGCACTGGCTGGCCGCACGAGCACAGCCCTGGAGGTCTCCTGCCTGGCGAAGAGGAGCGCGGAATTTCTCGCTACAACGAGGCCCTCTACTAATGGCTGCCACCTCGCTGAGTGTGCTTCAGTAATGGTGGCACGGCCTGGACGAGATACGACCGTTGTCGAATCTTGTAGAGTCACTGGCTTATAAGGAACACGGGACGCAGCTTACTACAGTTTTAGCTCATTATAACAGACTTGGTTACAACAGACATTTGGATATAACATACTGATTTGTAAAGTTTGGTTCGTTTTCCTCTACATACCATTGACTCCACTTCATATCTGCATACAACATACTCTCTTATAACAGACCGAAATCTTGGTCAAAATCAAGGTCTGTTATAACGAGCTTAGACTGTATGTCGAGCATCTTGCCTCGTGATTCGTTTTCCGGCGTTCCTGTCGGCTTATGCCTCAATCTCATTGGCTGCTGAGCGATAGTCAGATGTCTGGGACTCGCCATGCCCCGAGTTTCTGTCGGGGGCTATCTATAAAAAGAACTTGAAAGGGCAACTCCGCTCAATTTAGAAAAATTTAGGCTTACATGCGATTCCATTTCACAAAGCACTACTAAACAGCTCTATGTCTTTGGATTCGCGAAACGTGGAATATTATTTGTGTAATCCTAATTTAAACATCAGCTGATACCGAAACCGAAACTTCGGTTGCATCAGGCAACATTGGTCTCGTGTGGTCAGAGTCATGGCCACGTCTCGTCGAACCACGTGGTCTTGTGACGTTCGGGAGGGGGCGAGGGACAGGACACGCGACACGAGCAGGTCACTTCGCATGGCGTGGACGGTGATGGCCCGGGGAAGAGGGAAGGGGAGAAAACGAAAGAGGAGAGGGGGAGCGGAGAAACAGAAGCGCGCAGGGCAGCGCGAACTAGCGCATCCGCGTTACGGTGATCACGTGGACGCCGTTCAGCCAACACCGGGAGGAGAAACTCATGACGTCATCGTTCAATTTCGCTCTGAGAAGTAAAAACAAACAAAACGTGAGAATGACGTAGTCATGCCTCTGACGTAGTGGCTCAACGTTGGCCGCCCCAACTCCGTCGCATTGGCTGCGCCGACGATTGCGCCTCACGTCGCACGCTAGAGTTGACAGATTTTGGCGACTTGGCTCACTTGAAGGTTTGCTGGCCAGTCTATTAAATATATAGACGGAATTAGATCGTAATATTTGACATGGGGTCTTTCTATATGATACTGAAGAGGCCTACATAGTTTTCTATATATCAAAAATTAAGCGGAGTTGCCCTTGAAAGGGAACCTTTTAGAAGTGTCAGGGTGTTTGTCGACCTTTCAATGCCTCGTAACGCAACATTGGCAGCCACTCGGAGGAAGTTCCTTTTTAAAGTATCGTCGGAACGCCGGAATCTAAGGGGTCCTTGAGGCTGTTTTGTCGTTAACAAAGTACAACGTGCAACAGCTATTTTTTTTTTTTTTTTTCAAAGCTTTAGCACAGGTGCATTGGTATTGGGAGGGGATCACTCATTCAAGAAGCTAGTGTACAACCACTTGCGTCGCACCTTTTGCAAGGTAAGGACACCTTGGCCTCTTTTACAGCAACGGCTGTTACGGACTCTTCGCACCACTGGAAACAACGTCCGTCGGCAATGTGACCAAACGTTTGAAAAAAATTTCCCGCGGCACCTGGGCCCGCCGCATGCAAAGCAGGCACATTACCACCGAGCTATGCCACGGCCTTAACAGGTGCCTTCATCGACATCTGAAAAGCACGTGTGTATGGGTCTCGCGTAGAGCCTGCTAGATGGCCACAGCTGCCGCAAGATTGCCGCAACATTATTATACTCGATTGATTTCGAATTTAATTGTTGAAATTAAAATCTTCAGCTAGGTGATGCAGGTGGCTGCCCAACTAAAATGGCTCAGCCATATCCATCCATCCAATAATAATGATAATCAATTTTATTGGGTCGGGAAAGCCGCAGCACCGCAGAAAGAGTCACGGCCCATACCACAGAGGTCTGCGGTGCCGAGTCTAGTGATTCCGATTATGTGATACTATGCACCTATAGGAGGTATAGAGTCGCCAATCCTATTTACAAATTGGAACCACCGCTTGCGAGCCAAGCGACTTCCTGTCGCTCAGTCTTTGCAAGCCTGTCAAGCTTGTTCATGTGATTAGTTCTAGAAAGCATAAATGCTACATGCACAACAAAGTTGGAGATGAAGCAAGGGCCTTCGGCTGTACGACATCACGTCTTGGAGGAAACAAGTTGGGTCGAGAGAATGTTAGAAAAATTTTACCAGATCTCGTGCTTCTTGGTTTTTTTGGCGTGTGCCTGGGGGCGTTCGCAAAGAAAAGGGTCTATACACCTAGAAGACAAACACCGCACATTATGTCATCGTTAGTAAATCTCTGACCCGCCTCAAGTGGGTATTACGTTGAAGCTTGACAAGAGTACGGCGCAAAGCGGCAGGCACGTGTATCGTGTTGCCTTGTGCTATACTCCGTTTCACAATAATTTGTCGAACTGTAGAGGCTGGAGCCCCCGCGACCCAATAAGGGCGTCGGAGTAAGGCACGCGACAGCGCTCCGCGGTTGAGGCCATGAAGGCCTCGTTACCGCCACATCAACAGCGCCGTCCGCAAAGAAAGTAGCTTAGGCATCTTCCTTATTTTAACAGCAATTGAACTGTCACGAATGCATCTCTGGCAGCACTTCGGTACACGACACGGAAGAAAGACAAAGACACATTAATTTTCAACAATACTTAATTCGGTTTGAGCCTTTCTTGAGAACAATGGCTTTTGAACGATCGCAGCCCTGTAATCAACAGCTTCCGCTCCAAACGTCGTCCTGGCATTAACGCCTGCCACAGATTCGCAGGTTAATATAGCGTATGGTTGTCTCATGAACTGTTCCCAAAGAGCTCACTACTCTAGCGGACGGCAATGCTGCGGCGGTGGACGTCCAGTTGAAGTTGGTTGGTTTCGCAGCGGACGACAGCCGGTTCCTCCCTGCCTTTCATTTGGCCCAGTGACAACCGCTTCCGTGACGTGGTGTCACGTGCTTCGTTTCGACACTTATGCAGAGAGCAAGTTGTCTGCATCTTGCTCAGGAGTTGCGGTTACGTCACAACGACGCCGAGCTACGATTGGCTTTGATTGATAGCGGGTAAACCACAGCGGACGCCTTGAGGTCTACCCACTATTTTTTTCAATCGGCCAATGAGATCTCGGCGTTCTGACATCATCGCAACCCCAGTGCAGGAAGCAGACGAACTTGCGCTCTGCGTTGGGTGGCAGAGGCCGTTGCCTTCACAGTTCGCCAATTTATTGTGAAACTGTTCAGCGTCACGCTTGTTGCGAGATGCTAAAAGACGAGCTGGTGGCTATGCTGACCGGTCTCGCCGTTCATCGCAGGTAGAACAGTGAGGTGCGTGCTCGTGAAAAAGGTGCCAAAAGACTGCGCCGTCAAGATCTCGCTGTGACTGTACTGTAGATTCGCGGAACTGCTAATTTTTGTCCCTAGTTTTCTCTGCTATTTCAATGAAAAGAAATTGCACTGCTCTTTCTCGGCATAGGAGCATATCCTACATTCTAGGCATGTGCGAATAGTGGATTTCAAGATTAAAGCGGATGGTGGTTTTGCTTGAATAGTTATTTTAAGCCTTTCACTACTGGAATGTGCTTCAACGAGAACCCAGCTGAACTTGGGAAGGTTGTTTGTTGCCAAGGTTCCACTTGTCCATTTCTAAGAAGTTAATTTAAATCTACAGTGACTATATTGACTGTGGCCTTCAAAATTCCACTGCCTACATTTGGATGGGAAGCAAACGACACATTTATCATAAAATTAAACCTACAGAAATGCCAAGCTAGGTATAATCAAGGGGTTTTATGTTCTTACCATGTGCAAATATCTTCAATCGCATATTATTAACACAGGTGGTCAGGGCGTTTTAATTACCGAATTTCACTGCAATGTTTATATCAACATTCATAAAGTTTCCACTTCCTTTTAAATAGATCAAGCGCGCAACTGCACCATCCAGCTTTGGAAATTAGCTTTTTGCCTAAGCACGTGACTGCGATATTTGTGCTTTTACAAGTGTTGATTGCTGTTGATTAGCCCCGTTGAGCACGCTTTTTAGCACAAGCACCTGTGTACTGCGGAGAAGCCACACCCGCGTAAGCTAGCTCCTCGGGTGTTGTTTTCCCGCATTGCACCGGTGCTCGGTGAATGCAGCATGGCTACACACTCCTGCCAAATAAATTTGAACAAAATATATCCTCGATGAAGCTAACACGGTGAAGATGTGAGACGTGAAAGCCAGGTGCAAAAGCGTTGCAAACGAAAGAACGATATATAATTCCACTGCCGCAGCGGGGCACATTTATGTCTGAAGTCACGCTGCGAATTGTGCTACATAAGTGATTGCACCAAGATTTCTTCCGTGTTGAGATTTTGTCACATATTACCCAAATGCTGCCAGAAATACTCTGTTTATTTTTAGTGCGTGGTAGTGGTACTTGGAACTAGGGGCATCGCCTAATAAACTCCGAGGATCCAGGAACCTTGTTGTGAAAAAAGCCGAGTGATTTGTAGCGACGGAAGGCAATATATTCTAGCGAGAGAGTTAGTGAACTTGTCTTGCAGTTGATGGCAATTGCAGTTCTACAAAAAAATGACAAAGAAAACTCGCCTCTTCGAGGAGCAAGGCTTGGTTGTAGTGCGGCTCGTAGAGTTCAGGTGCCAGCTCCCCAGCCGTGATAAAGTGTGCCTTGGCCTGCAACCAATCGGGGAATCCATTTCTCCCGCGCAATTATTACGGCAGCTTCACCTTCACACCTTGGCCTAACAAGAGAAAAGCTTTCCTTTTAACTTACAGATTAGAATTCTTCTGTTAAGCGGTACAATCCTATAGTATTAAACTTGAAATTTACTAGTGGGTGTGAACTCATTTGCAAATAATTATGTATAATTAGGGTTCCGTGTTGTGTTTATTTATTTTCTTTCAATTTTGGGGAAGGGGGGGGGGCAGTATTTGTTTCGCACATTTAGATTAGTTTTCTGTAAATTTGTTAAAACTTAACCAATTTACACACACACAAAAAAAAAACCTACAGAATCCGTAAAAAAAAAATAATCAACACCGAGTACAGATTTTTACCTGTAATTCACGAATTATCTTTCTAAATGTTCATCTTGGCTGGCTCATTCCGATATACTTTGTCTCACCTTAGCATGGACTAATTGCTAAGGCTGAGCAAGCGCGAGCGACAAGCCTTGACTGTCTTGACTGGAGCACTGACTGCACGAGCGCTCGTGCAGCCGCCGAGGCTTCATCCAAAGCAACTAGCTTTCGCTTTTAGCATGTGCGGCTAACAATAGTCCATGCTAAGGGGAGACGAAGTATAGACCTTTTGCTCAAGCACCAAGGAGCGTGCGCGAGTACTTAGAACTAGGTACTCGCGCACAAAGCAGCACACGCGGTGCGCGTGCTGCTTTGTGCGGCAGTAACTATTCGAAAGCAAAAACCCAGAATCTCGCTTGGCACGCCTGATCATCGGCGCTTTATTTTGGTTGTTTACGTCGAATGTTTTATACAGATAAGGCGCGCAGCACGTGTACTTGCGTCCCCAGCATTCTCCTTGATGCTTGCGTAATTTGGCAGAAGGTACGGAGACCTTTCGCTAACTTACCGAAGCACTAAGGAGTATGCTGCGAGCGTGTAGTTACGTACCCGCGCTGCACGTGCTGTCGTCTGCGGCAGTAACTTCTAAAGCAAAAGCCTAAAACAAACGGCATCTTGCCCGCGCATTCGTCAACGCCTTATTTTGGTTATTAACTTGGAATGTTTTATATGGGGAAGGCGAGCCCTTGCGGCACGTGTACAGCTGCAGCGGAGAAAGATTAGCACAAGTGACCGACGCCCGGAGCGGCGAAAGCGCGACACGCAGCTCTATGCAGAGCGCAAGTTGCGCAGGGGTCGCGACGATATCAGAACGCCGTGCTCTGTTTGGCTGATTGAAAAGAATAGTGGGTAGACCTCAAGGCACCTAGCGCTGAGGTCGACTCGCTACCCTTCCAGTCAAATCCAATCGGAGCTCAGCATTGTTCTGACGTCACCGTAACTCCTGTGCCAGAAGCAGGCTCCGCGTTGTTCCCGAGCGCGCCGATTGCAGGAGTGCAGTCACGTTCCACGTCTCGACGCGGGGGTGGCCGGCGGTCGGTCAGTCAGTCAGAGTCTTGGGAGCAAGGTGGCCGGCGGAAGCGGGCCATCCTAAAGCTATCTTATCTCTCAATTTTCTGCCGGTCACCCCGCGCTGAGACATGGAACGTGACTGGCACTCTCGCTCTTTGGCGCGCTCGGGAACAATAGCGCCGCGTGTCGCGATTTTGCCGCTGTGGTCATCGGTCACTTGTGCTCTAATCTTTTTCCGCTGCAGCTGTACCTACATTCCCAACATTATCCTTGATGCTTCGGTAAATTTATTCCGTTGCCTGACATCAAGATATGCCGTACTGTTTTTTTTTAATACTATTTGTTGAAGTTATGCTGTCCGTGTCCGCCGTACCGAAGGCCTGTTGTACACACATACAGCGCCGCTCTGAAAAAGGCGAGTCGTCGGTTTAGTAGCGATGCATCGGCGCTGGATCGTCGCTCACCACTTCGGCGATAAATCACGTGCAAGCCAGAGCTGCATCAGTGCCCTTCTCCAGCGCTACTTCGGCGCTGCGCTGTATGTGTGGACCGGCCATTTAGGGAAAAAGGTGCCGAAAGCTGCACGCCCGAGGAGATGTAGTATGGCGCGTCTTTTCTACGACCACGTGACCCTCATCAGCTCGCGATGATTGACTACCTGCGTCTGCTGCAGAGGCTGACGTCGGTTTCGGGTGAGACTGGACGCGCGTATAAGAGAGAAACAGTCGTTAAAGATAGGCAGTTTTTGACCGGTAAAACTTTTGCTATCAAGATCACTGCGTATTTTTTGAGCCAGGGTTCTCCTTTTATGAAATTACCGGGTCCCAAGATGTTTAACGTGTCAAACGGTTCTTGTGTGTCTACGCTTGAGGGATTATTTCTCGGCGATTAATTATTAATTGGTGGTAAAGTCGCTTTTTAGTGGCGTGTTTCGACGACGGACAACATATCAATCAAACTTTGGTTGGGTCTGGCAATGAACTGAAACAGTGACGAAATAATAAACACGTACGCCTGTCATTGTACGTGTTTTTTTTTTTATTACATACTGATTATGACATGCCAGTGAATGTTAAAATTTAAAACGCTAATTAGTTGTACATTTTAATTTATTTGCTGGTGACCACATTGCAGCTGACGATCGCCGTAGTATGTAACGTTATCGCGAAAGAATATATTTTGTTTCGATTAAGGGTGTCGCGAACAGTTGTCGCACCCGAGGTTCGGTGAGCCTTGGACCTTTTTGCAAAGTTCTGCTTATGGGCGGTTGCCCAGCTTCTACACGAAGACTTCGAAATTTGGGAAACAAATAATCTAGAAAGTAAATAATTTGTTTTATATTTAATAAAAAAAATATTTCGGAAATTCAACTTCAGTCGAACGTTTGTCGAACTCGAACCTCGGCAGGTTTGCGACGTCACTAGGTTCGACCCTCCCGGGAGGTTTTCGCAGCGGATCCCGCGTCTGTGCTTTGTGTACGTAAACCGTCTTTCCCCTTCCGCTAACCCTTCCCAAAGAAGGAACTGCTACTGCGGCCGCGTGCAGATGGCCTTGGCTGTAGAGTTCCGGGTAGCGGAGGGGGAAACACGGTCTACTAAAACTCCCTAATGTGACGGGTAAATTTCTCCGCTAAATTTAGCAGAATTTCATTAGAGTTTTTTTCCGTCTCGCAACGCTCTCCGCAAGGAAACCCGGAACTATGGTAGCTACCATACCGGAACTCTACAGTCAAAGCCATCAACGCGCAGGCGCAGTAGTGGCTTCTTCGCTCCGGAAGGCTTAGCGGTCCACAAAAACTCCCACATGAACACTGTCCTTTAAATTTTGCGGAACGAATGTCTGCTAAAATGCTAAGCACGGCACTGTAACTGCAGCAGTGTAAGCTGTCTCGGATATCGCCGCAGTTCATTCCCAGTGATACACGCGCCGTCCGGAAAGGTAATTCGGCGTTCGTTGCCATGGTGACGGCAATGAAAGCAGACGGCCTTTATGCTGCGGAAGAACACTGCGGCGCAGTGCTAGCAGGTGCGTGCTGAGGCGCTTCCCTCATGCTTTTCAATGGGTGGGACGCGAACAAAAAAAGTTCGAAATAAAGATTTAACGCAAAAGGCTGGTTTTTTTCAGCGCCTCTACTCAACGAGCCTTACGCAAAAAGCGTGTTCTTTTGGCCATCCCGCGCCGATAACCGGTGTTGCATTGTTTTACGGGGGGCCCACCTTGTCCGTGTTGCCCAGGGCTACCTCGATGACGCCGAGGTTGTTGTACGACTCCGCATGGTCATTGTTGTGCACCAGAGAGAGCCGAAAACAGCGAGCTGCCAAAGTCTTGTCTCCTGCGCTCTGGAGGAACAACATTCGGGTCAATTGTAAAACCGTGCCCCCAAAAGAAAGAAAATAAGAAGAAAAGGAAAAGGGGGTTGGGGGGAGTGTGTGTAGGTTGTGATCTAACGAGTGCTATCATATGGGCCCCCTGCGCTGAAGCTTTGAACAAAACTGTGGCGCCTACGTTTTGGGTAGATACAAGCTTCACCTGGTTAAGACTCCCACTATTATGGCGCCTTCGCCGTGATTTTTTCCCTTCTGTGTAGTACAGAAAAACGGAAAAACACCTTTGGACGTCCGAAATCGGCTACATTCAACGCCGCAAGACAATCGAAAGTTCCGGATTCATGCCACCACCGCTAGGGTACGCGTCTCGTATCTCACATGTGGTGACTTTAGAACATCTGGCGTCCCGACGTTTTTGTTTTTTCTTCCCCTTTATGTTTCATCGGCACGCGTGATACGGTGTTTCTTGCTTCACGCTCTTACATAGCTTTGGCTTGTGCTTCGACGGCGTTAGCGTTTTTCTTTTTTTCTATTTTCCTCATTATCGTCTTTTGCGCCAGAGCAGGCACGCTTTTATATGTGTGGCAGTTTGAGTCACCCAAGTTTGTACTACTTAAAACAAGTCCTAACAAGTCATTTTTCGCAGCGCCTCCTGGGCAACGCAGGAGGCCTATGGCCAACTTTCTAGAACCGGTGTCTTGGCTAGGGCTCTGAAAGGAAGTACTGCCAAGGCTATAGTGCAAGAGTGGAATGGCACATGAGCTTTTGCAAGGCCCAACAACGTCGACGCCTTGCATCGACGTTTTATCACAATCTCAGCAGTGAACGCAACAAGCAACAATCCTTTTTTTTTTTTTTGGTATTGGTTGGCGTGCGCGATGAGCGAGTCGCTTCTCGGAAACTCGCTCCGAACGCCGCTGATTGGCTCAGCCGCTCCGCAACGATACCCGTTTTCACCCCCCCCCCCCCCCTTTCCCAAAACGCAAGTTTTGCGCACTGTTCATACGAGGCGCGAAGTAGTTCTTACGATATTTGGTTGTCGGGGGAAAAAGCGTTGCTTTTGGTGTTTGAAATGTGTACGTCTTGATGAGACAACACATGTCTAATCTAAAAGGCACCTTCATAAATCTTAATTCTCCACATCAAGGGGAAATTAGTAATGATCCGCGAGAAGCCGGACTTTTTTTTACTATGGTTCTTGCGCAAAAAGTCGGGCCAGCTAGCGATTGCTCAAAACGCGTCGCTTTTTTTTCCGTGCTGGTCGCTTTTGCGATTAAAGTCATCGCGCGACTGCTGCACATCGCCGGTGTGAACGCGCCTTTCGAGTTTTTGTGAATTAAAACAGCATGTTCGGCGTTCCACGAACTCCCGACCGAAAACGTAAGAATTTCGAGCCAGAGGCTTGTGCCACCAGTCGCGGTAGTACGCAAAATGACACTTCTTTTCTCTTTTTTTTTTTTATTGTTATAGTTCGCGCAAAATTTTAGAAATTGTTGAATCGACAGTCGAACCGACAATTAAAAAAAATTGTTTTGTGAAAAAAAAAAGTGAAAGCCGTTTACAACTCCCTGTAACGCCGAATTCGAGCGCAGCTCATGAGGAGGAGGAGGGAAGGGTACTGAGGTTCCCGTGTTCCCCGGGGGGGGGGGGGTCTAGTGACCTCGGGGGGGGGGGGGGGGTCACGTTACCCCCAAGCTCCCCACGTGACCTTGGGGAAGGGGTAACGTGACCCCCAGATAAATTTTTCCGCTAAATTTAGCGGGGAAATTTTCCGCTAGATTTAGCGGGGAAATTTTTCCGCTAGATTTAGTGGGGAAATTTTTCCGCTAGATTTAGCGGGGAAATTTACCCATAATGCACCGTGCGGTTACGCCGACGGCGACAAGCCGGAAACGGGCGCCTAAGAGCTGCGCTCTAAAAAAGAAAATGTCAGCCATTTAGTGATGTCAGGTCTGCAGACGCAACGGACGCTACGAGCCATCTTCACCATTCTTACGAATGCATGAAAGAATAAAACATCGAGGACGGGGTCGGAACCCAGGCCCTCTTTGAAAGAAGTGCTCGATGCTTTATTGTTTCATGTATTCGTGCCTATTCAGCAATACCCTCGTTTTCAAACATCCATTCCACCATCTTGTTTTCTAATCGCGTGCACTCCCCGCACGTTGCTGCGTCCCTCCTGGGAGTCACCTGACACAAACACAAAGGGGCTCCGATAGCTGGTAAGCTTCAATGCGGTTTTTCGTAAGAGGAAAGGGAGTGTGGCACGGCTTTTGCTGCCACGTCTGCGAACCCTGTTTCATCGTTTTTTGGTTTGACAGCGGTTGCTGTTACGGGCTCGTCCCCCCGGTTTTGCGACGACATGAGTGTAAACAAATTTGGTTTGCCCCGCTAAACTTGGCGGGGAAATTGACGTCACGTGGCCTAACGTCACGGGACCCACAGACGAATTCAGGTACCCCGCTAAATTTAGCGGAAAAATGTAAGTCATGTGACCTATGCACCAATTCAGTTTCCCCGCCAAATTTGGCGACAATGTGACGATCGTCAACAACATATCGTCGAATGAGCAGCGCAGGTACCGCTGTCCAAAGTCATCACGCCGCATGATCGTCCCCAACTTTTTTCTTTTTAGTTTTTAGGCTAGGTGGCGCAAGCTACCACCTGTTATAAGAGGTACTGCCGTTAGCATTCATCCATCTAACATCCGAGTCGTTGATCCGAAACGAGACCCTCTGCTTGGAACTGGTGATAAGACTTTTAACGCGATACTATGGTGCCATGGAACGCGTCTCGGACTGGTGTGTTTTCCGCGACCAGAAAAGCGGTTCCTCGATTTCCGCCTGATGACGTCATAGAAATGGCACTCTGTTGCCAGTTGCGATACTGACGGCGTCCCAACAGCTCTGGTGTATCTGGCAGACGCCTGTTCCATTGGATGTCGCTCTCTAGTGTGGCAGTCCACGGAAGCTACAGCGGCCAGAATTTGGGAATTGTGACGACAGCGACACTAACGTTCGGTTTTACTCGCAGCTTCTCGTTTGCGATTCTACGATCAACCGCCTGGATCGCAACATGCAACAGCATGACACTCCGGCTTGTGTGACGTCATTCGTTGCCACTTCAGGACCACTTTTGATGTAAGGGCAGCATAGGACGCTAAAAATACCAGTCGGAGACGCGCTCCAGGCGCCATAGCAATAGCGTTAATAGCCAGTGGCGTACCAACCTTTTTTTGAGTGAGGGGGCAAACCAGACCAGAACCCCCCCACCCAGGGCCGTGAGGCTGAGCTCTTAGTATACCTTGGGCGCCGCCGGCCAGTATTTTCCCTGCCCACGGCTGTTTGGGTGGTGCAGTACACATGCCTTGCCCCCCCCTCTTAGAACTAGGCGGGGGGGGGGGGGGGGGGGGGAGGGGGGGGGGGGGGGCAAGCGCCCCCTTGCCCCCCCGGTTGGTACGCCCATGTCAATAGCTCGTGTCGCAGAAAATCCGGCGTCGGTGGCGTTGTGCCGGAAAAGTGCAGAATAGGCGATATGGTCATGACGTCACAGCCACGTGACCTCGCGCGGAAATTTCAAACAACGTTCACGTGACGTCATGCGTGGAATGAAAGTGATTAAAAAACATGACATGTAACGTGAATTTGACGCGGAGACGCATTCCAGGCGCCATACTTGTTAAAGTCTTACCACATGACCTCGCGCGAGAGTTTATCTCTTTAGCTATCGCGTTCAGGGAGGCACTCACTTGATCGAATGACGTTTTAGTAACGCCCACGTTTCATCGAACGACACTTTAGCGAATAGTCGGACGCCGCGAAGCGGCGTTTTCGGGTGGGCCAAGGGAGTTCATATTTTTGTAATGAGTTGCCGCAGACTGTCGCCGCGAAGCGGCGTAAAGCGCAGCGCGACGGATGGGTTAACGCGCGCCCCCGTTATTCGCTAAAACGACCATTCGCTCAAATGTCGCCGTTCGCTAAAATGTCATTCGCTCTTGTAATATGGACCCGGCTCTCAATGGACCTTTTTCTAGTAAGCTTCTGCGCATGCGTACACTCCCGCTGTCGCCATTTTCGCAGGACACCGGAACGCGGTGCCCTGCGAAAATGAAGACAGCAACATTGTCAGCATCTATCTTCGCGCGTATTTAGTCTATTTTGACTCTTGGTTTCTTAGTATCGGTAGTATGGGGTATAAAGAGCACTGAAAACCGATACAACGGCACTATGCCAATGTGTTTTGCCGGGCGGAGCCATGTTGGGCTGCTCTTCTATTGTAGTTCGCAGACAACTCCCCAGACGGCGCTTGTTACTCGAAAAAGGTAAGGCGAAAAAGGTCCGTTGCAGCGTCCAGAAGCTCCGGCGGTATGCAGGTTAAGAAACCAGGCGAAGCTGTTCCTGTAAAGCCTTCAACTCTCCACTTTAGCAGAGCGAACGCTGAAGAGAAGGCAAGGCCCTCCTCGGCTCGTCTGTAGCGATCGCTCTGCTGAAGTGGAAAGAGTAAAGGTTCTCAGGGAAGAGCTTTAACCTGCAACGGACTATGGGTCTTACCAGCGCCACGTGTCCGAGATTGTACCAGATGTCTGCGAGGAGCTGGTCTCCGGCCAGGCTTAGCGCCCGCTCGAAGCACGTGAGGGCCACGTCGTACTGCTGGGCGTAGAAGCAGCACAGCGCCAGGTTGTTGTACAGCTCGGCCGTGGGAACGCCCAGCTGGAGCAGGCGCCTGCGCGGTGCTGCAGCGTTAAAGGGGCACTAGGCTGGATTTTGAGATCGTCTTTTTATAGCGACAGCTCAATCCACGCACCCTAAGCATCCTATAAAATCCTAAATTACCAGGAAGCGCGGCCTTTTTTACCCTTAAAAACGCTACCAAACACCGAGGCACGTCCCGTTTTTATATATCAGAAAAAGGGGCGCATCGCGGTGTTTGGTCGTGTTTTTAAAAGGGTAGTGCAAGGATTTTAATGTTGAAAAAATTTGCAGTTTCAGTTTTTGCATTGTTTATCTAGGCGCAGGTGACAAAAAAAAAAAAAAAAAAAAAAAGCGTCACCTTAGCCCCGAAGAACTGCTATTCCGCTGCGTAATCGCAAAGGAAAAAACGAATTATTTGGCGATCGGCAGCCGCGTGTGGCGGTCACGGGAACTACGGTGACACGTCTCTGGGTGACACGCTGAAGTCAACAAAACCTGTCCCCCTCCTCTGCTGCACTCGCCGTCAGCCTCGTGGCGAACCCTCTTTCGTGTGGATCGCTCGCCGCTACCTTCGACGACGCCAACCCTTGAAAAGTCGACAAACGCGGAGGAAGTGGCTGGGGCCTCTGAAGAGAGAACCCAACGGGGACCAGGTGTAACCCCAGAGTACGTCACTCGAAAGACGACGTGAGAGTTGAGAGGCACTTTTACTTCCAATTTGTTTAATCTTTTTCAATAAAAACTAGCACGCGTGAGAAAATACGGTTCTCTGCTCTTCGTTCCATAAATGGCTTAGCGTGCATCTTTAACGTGCATCTCTGTGTGATGCACGTTAAAGACCCCCAGGCTAGCGGTTGTGCTGCACTGGCTAGATTTCTCACCATACAGGTGAGAGACGAGTCGCCCGTTGAGGCAGACTAAATTCAGGCTGTATAAACATACCCACACCCCGATTTTGCCTGAACCGAAATTTGGATATCACAAAATAAGGTAGCAGGAGTGTTCAACTGGGCACCACAAACCCCAAAACGCCACTCATAAAGAGATATCTCGAACGGATGGCCGTATTTTGGTAAAATAAGGATGTGATTGAGAGAGAATCGCTACGTCGCGTTTCCTGCAGAATAGTTGAGGAGAAGGGGAAAAGGCTTTGCTTCCTTCCCTCTTCGCGTCCTCGCGCAGTCAAAGCGAGAGGAGGAAGAAACGATAATCGCGACGTCACGGGCCTTTGTGGCCTTGTTCAAGCGCGCTCTTCTTTCACAAAAATACGACCATCCGTTGGAGATTCGCTTTATGAGTGATGCTTTCGGGTTTGTAGCGTCCCGCCTAGCACTTCTGCGTTGTCTTCTGAAATCAAAATTTGGATTCAGCACCCCTTTAAGGCCGAAAAAGGCCACGCTTGGTTGTATACTTGGGGTTTCATGGGATGCTTAGGGTGCATAGATTGAGCTTTCAGCATCAAAAGGCGATCCCAACAGGACATAGCAAATACTGTGCACAGAAATAATAGTGTGCAAACCTCTAAAAAATAAAAGTAAACCGTGCGGCTCGCGCGTCCGTTTTTAGTGAGGAAAACATTAACCAAGGAAAGCTTTTCCCTCGCCTCCTGGCTGTCGTGGTCTCCCCTTTCTTGTTTTCGGGAGGTTGGGGACTGACAACAATAGCGGAGGTCTTGACGATAGCCAGCACGTGAGTGGCTGTCTGGAGCCACGTGGGGAGTACGCTCCAAGCCTCTGTCCACCGTGCCTCTGTCTACGAACGGAAACAAAACAAACAAACAAAAATCTTTTCCCTTAGCAAAAAGAAAAAAAAAAAAAAAAAAAAGAAGGTTAAAGGGTGTTTGGAACAGCAGGAAAACCTCCACTTTCGAGGGTCGAGAAAATGCCGTGCACGGAATTTGCTGGACCGGAAGTATTTGCTGTGCCCTGTTTTCACGATACGGCAAGAAACAGCAAATATATATTTTTTCTTCACTTCCTGCAGTACAGTAGCTCCAAAAGAACGTGGAACCACAGTCTTACTCCCAAAACAGTAAATCTCCGATTAATTCCTGAAGTTCTGCACCAGACTTCCTTCAACGTATGCAATACACGACTCCGGCTGGCGTCGCCTAGATATCAAAGCCAGTGCCGAGTTCTCGCTGTAAGACACACTGTTGGTAATGCTGACGGGAGCTATGGCGGCGCAGCGTGAATGACGTTTATGGGGGAAAATGAGCAGATGTCTTGTCTTCTATGTGGCATTGCTTAGGAAGTGCTGCTTCACAGGTTGATCACCTGTAGAATCGTAGAGCCAGTTCGGGCTGGTCAGCGTAGAAATGGTGCGTGGCCACACACGCGATGGCCTCCACATGAACGGCGTCCTGGACCAGAAGGTCCTTGTAGAGCTTGGCTGACCGCTGCAGGTCGTGCAGACCCTGTCCGATGGGGTGTCAGTGGACGTGGTTTCTGGAACGATTGATCGGCGCGTTCTCGCACCGTATGTCCTTACCTCGTACACCCGGGCCATGGGTGCAATGACGGCGGCTTCGTCCGGGAACTTGTCGAGGGCACGTCGGTAGGTCTCTAGAGCTGCCAGGGGCTGGTCGAGCTGCAGCTGAAGCTGTGCAAATAGAGCACGGACGTGATTCGCAAGGTTTTACAATTAACACTGAACTCACGTTCTTAAATTTCTGGTTAAGACCATATGTTAAAAAGCAAACTTTCTAAAAACGAAAATACATATCCACATCTTATTACCATAGTGTGCAAAGAAATGTTATAGGATAGTTGCGTTTCCTTCAGGTACTTTTTTCGTATTTGTCTTTTGACTTGTTTTTTTCGTTCTCGTTCTTCTGAATTTTTACGCCTCCGTCTCTGAGCTGCAGCTCGAGTAAATGTATATGCTCAGCTGCAGCGTGCTTCGTACGCCCAGCTGCCCGTTATTCCCGGGTCGGAGTGGAAAGGGCAGGCGTTCGCCCTCTGCTTCGACGCGACGATCCTTGTCTCTTCGGAAGGTGTCCCAACTTTGCGGGTCCTTCCCATGTGCTCACGCTATAACAGGTATCGCTGTAACTATCGCCGTAGCCCGAAGCAGGTGCCTGCCTCGTGCTGGAGCTCCGGAATGTAAGGCAGAGGCTGTGTTCCGCATTCACTGGTGGCCATTGCTGAATCTGCGGTTCGTGCGCTGACGGCGAGCTTCCACGGTGCTCTGGCAAGGTGCATTCCAAAAGATTGCCGGTCTTAGCAGCCCATAGGAATGAGCTCGTTTTGAGCATGCGGAGTGAACTGCGCAGTCAAAGGTGACGTCCAGTGAATACTAAGTTGCGGGAGCGTACTCGCACGTGCGATCGTCTCATGGTCCCCCTCTAGTCGACCCTATATACGTTCGGTGTCCTTGCCTTTGCCAACCAGAGGTGCGCCCTTGGCATGGGATCCCCGGCCTCACTGGCGGTGCGGAACTGCTGCTCGGCGTCCCTGGGCATGCCCAACCTGAGGAAGCAGCGTCCCCGCTGCAGCGCCCACCATCCGCAACAGTCGGGGCCCCTCCGCTGCGACGCCAGGTCCAGGGCTTGGCGGACGTCCCCCCGCTCGTGGTACAGGTAGCGGAACAGCGGCTTGGACACGCAGGCCGGCTGGGACGCCCAGCTGCCGGCGTCGCGGGCCAGACGGCCCAGGTCGAGCAAGGGGCCGGCAGAACTCGCGGGACGTGCCTGCCAGGCATAATGGGGCAGGGCTGAATTTCGACAGTCGATATAACTTGCCTCGGAATTCCTTTGACACACTGGGCCGCGGTCACACTGATAGTCCGTCACGCAAAATACAGTATGCAGTCACTAGCTGCGTTCGATTTACCTGCACCTCCTGCGTTTGTGCAGAAAAGTGTAGGGCAGTGTACTTCCGGTATCTAGAAGTCTGAGAGACGCCTCAGCTACTGTCTGAGGGGTCTTTCTTCCTTGCATGTCTGTTCTGTCACATTGCCCATAAAATAACTGTCCAAAATAATCCCTGGAGAAGGGGAACGTGTCATTATTATCATCATCATCATCGTAATCGTTATCATCGTCAAGAAGTGTCTGCAGACATGTTCGAAGTATTTATGAAGCACAGATGCTTCGAGATGCTTGAGTCGTGTCAGCAGAAAGTTCTGTCATCGTCTGCTGCGAACGCCGTGTCTATGCGGAGAGCAAGTCGTCTGCTTCCTGCGCAGGCGTTGCGGTGACGTTAGAACGACGCCGAGCACTGATTGGATGGATAGTGGGTAGACCTCAATTCTAGATGCGTATACCCACTACCTGTTTTTTGTTTTTGTTTTTTTAATCAGCCAATAAGAGTTTGGCGTTCTGAGATTATCGGAACCCCTGTGCAAGAAGCAGACGAACTTGCGCTCCGTATTGTATGTTGTATGAGCTCTGGGACTCTGGCTTTACATAGACACGGCTAAACTATAGTAACCCAAATTCCAAGTCTCAATATATATATATATATATTTTAGCGAAGTTTTATCTAAATCTGATCAGAGAGACTGAGAGGGCTCTGGCTGAAAGGCTTCCTACTGGCGACACTGAACGACGTCGAAGGTTGTAATATGCAGGCACTATGCGTACAGATTGTTTTCGACTGGTTACAAGAAGTTGAATGGCATGAAATTAAGGCTGAAAAAAACTCACGCCAAAAAAACGAAAAAAGTCAGCGTCGGTGGGAACGGAAGATCCTGATTGGTAGATAGGGTTATGATGTCACAGTCAAGTGTGACGTCACACGCATGACGTGTGACTTCACGTCACCATCGCAGTGATTGAGTTTGATGAAAGAAAAAAGTCAAATTTGGGGGTTTTACGTGCCAAACCAACGGCGGGCATCTGGCACGCCCCAGCGGAGGACTGAGGATTAATTTCGACCACCTGGGGATCTTTTGACGTGCAACCGAAAGCTCGGTTACACGGCGTCTTCTCCGCAATAAGCCTCCGTCATATTGCGGGCACCTCGGCCGGGATTCGAACCCGCCACATGGGGATCCGTAGGCCGACGCTCTCGCCTCGGAGCCACCGAGGTGGCTGAGTTTGATGAAAGTGCTCTATACTTCGTTTCACCTTCAGTCCGAGCGCAGCGGACGCTACGAGCCATCCCAGCCAATGCAGCGCCGGGAGAGTATCACGTGACCTTGTGGTTGGGCGGAGCGACACGCGGAGCTCGAGATCACGCGATACTCCCCCGGCGCTGGATTGGCTGGGTCGGCGCGTAGCATCCACTGCGCTCGGACTGAAGGTGAAACTCGGACAACTGTCGTTCAGGTACGTCATGGAACAAGAGAGATCTGAAAGCATTCGCAACGATCTCAACTATACGATGAGTGAAAGTGCCAAAGTGTGGTGTGTAGTATGTACAGAATAGTGAAGTGGTGTTGTAGAATGTGAAAAACACGTGTGAGAACAAACATTAAGAAGAAAGTTGTACTGCGTTTCAACCGCGGCTGTGACCGCTTGTCACGAGAGAACGTGCACATCGACGCCAATCTCAAAAGTTACGCAAAGCCATGGAAATATTTGACAGAAACTGTTCACAGTAGCGCCTTCGTTTTTTTTTTTTTTTTTGTCACGCGAGAAATTATGAAGGTAATTTTTTTAGCGTACTTTACGTTTATGTGCGAGGGTAACTGGGTATCAAACTATTCACCACTGCATGAGCTTCTTCTGGTTTTTATCATGATCGGACCTCACTATAGTCAAAAACCGATCAGTGATATGTAATATCTCACTATACGGACGGTCTTCTGGCACAATAATGTGATCTCTAATGATCAGACCCATATATGACGTCGCAGGTATCCCACACGCCTGGCGTGATGATAATTTGCTCAAACGAGAGTTATTCAAAAAGACGATTGTATTAGCTCCCGAGACAACTGGAAAGGATGACGCTACAGCGAAGCTTCCGGAAGAGGGTTGAAACAATTGAGTACCAACGTGCGTCTGGATGACTATGCACTGTACGCAAACAGCAGTCAATAGGGCAGATTTGCTTAAAGTCAGGAAGAATTGGCAATGTCTCCCAGCGCAACAAATTGTGTTGTGTTTTTGTTTAGACAGCAGTCAGCCCCAATTGTCCTCTGGTGTCTCCGCTACAAACGACCTTCTTCTTCAACCTTCATCACGTAGTAGTGATACGCGACTGCACTAAAGTACGGTACCCATCCAGATCGAAACGGGCAAGGGTGGGGTTTGAACCCAAGAGGTTCTGCGAGGTACGGAACTTTCGCGGGAACGGAGCACCAAATTCAGCTTTACTTACCGTAGACGGCACTCTAGCCGTTCGAGCCCCACCGGCCGCGGTACGCAGCACCCTCTCAATTCCTGCGCCACTCGTGGTGGCCCTGGACTGTGGTCTTCGCCGCACCCCGGTCACCGGACGGCCCTCTCTGGTCAGGGGCCTCGCGCTCGCCGTAGGTCCAGGAGCCCTCAGGGACGTGCCCGGACGTGCCGTCTGCGCCAGGGCATGGTCATCCAGCAGGGTCTGCGCCAAGGGTTCATCGTCGAGCTCGAGCTCATCCAGCCATGCCTGCTGAGTCAGGGCTCGGAGCTGAAGCCAATGGGCCTGCGGAATATGCGGCAACAACTGACAGGCGTCAGCGCATTCCGCGAAGCGTCTACGACGGTACAGACTCAGCGCCCGCTGAAAGGGTTCGGGGCTGACGGACTGGTCGTCTGCAACCTTGGAGGGCGCCGCCATGATGGAAGACGCCATGTTAGTTGGTCATATACCGCCGCGATAGGGACGTGCGGTCTAGTGCCGGTTGTTGTGGAGGTGGTTTCCATGGCAACAGTGTCGAGCGCTTTGCTCGTTGTTCTTGAAGTTTTTTATTGACCGTTCCGGCGGGTTGGGAGGTCGCATTGGGGATTCTTCGTGCGTGCGAACTTTGCGAGTTTGGTGTGGCGCCATACTCTTCCCTTTTGGTCGCAGGTCACGTAGTTCGGTGTGCTCGTTTTACACGCTTGCTTCTTTACTTTTTATTTTTTTATTTTTTTGAAGGGAAGAGTTTGGCGCCGATGAAGCTCATTTCGCGTGTGCGTGTCTGGCTGGAACCGGAGGATTGCTACACTGAGAACTTTGGCGGGAAGGAGGCGATGTCTTGCACAAAGATGTGGCACGTCTTTGTCAATTCTCTTGGCGGCAGGACGTGGACGTTGTTTCTCTTGGATTGTTTTGTGACATGTCGGCCGAGGAAGCAGTGTATACGAGTGGAATACGCGATTATTGGCAGGCAATTGGGGACACACTGCAGTCTACTCGAGCGCAGGAGCGCACTTAGCGTAACGCGGAAACACTGCTTGAAATGGGGTGGCCAAAGTACACGGTCGCGTTTTATAGTATCCCGGGTGCACCCCACGCACTTAAATATAAATGTGCACTTGAGATTCAAAATGACATTTGTCACGTTTGTATAGATGTTCCCCAAAGCGATTGGCTCTGCCAACAAACTGGCGGGACATATTTTGACTTTATTTGTTTGTTATGTATCATATATAAAGGTTTGTGACAACAGAGTCCCGCCGCGTTTTTGGCGAAATTAGCCTATCAAAGAAGCGGAGTACATTTACTGTATGATCATGTAGCACGACTAAAACCTATCTGAGTTCAATGATAAAAATGGTCTGTAGGGTTGTCCTGCCTGATGCGTGCAGCCAATGTTTGGTGGTCGCTACCACCTGAGATAACTTCATACATTCCCGACTGCCTCGAAGGCATTGGGACACCCTGTCGGGAAGTCTTTAAGTGTGTACAATGTTAAAGTGTGTAGCAGCAAGTGTGGTTGCCATGCTACTTCCACGTCATCCCTTCATCTTCAATGGCGAGCCTTCATCACCATTTACTCTTCTAGACCACGTTCTCATTTGTCATCATGCAGAAATGATACGATAACCCCCCCCCCCCCTCAAAAAAAAAAAAACAGTGGATGAGCTAAAGAACATTCATTACCCGCGCACTTTTGTCAGCCCATTGGGAAAGCTGTAGATGTTACTCGTGAAAGTAATTAAATTACAGCTACATTTACGTGAATTGAAACGTATTTAAGCTATACAATTGCATTCTTACAAATGCAACCAATCACAGTTAGGATTATTTGCAAAGAGTAATGAAGTAACGTTACAATCATTTTAAGATTGTCTGAAGACTTGCCGATCAACGATTTGGTTTTTTACGTGGTCAAGATATTGGCGCCAGTATCGTCTTTGTTCAGCGTCTCTCATGACAGAGCTTGAAACGCTTACGCGCGATTATATGAGACGACATCAATGCGAATCTGTTTATGTTTCGACATAATTTCGAGAAATAACTCCGATCGATCCTACTCGCATTTGCTCCATAAAGTGTTGAAGCACCGCTGACTGCAATTTCGTTGTACGAATTAGTCAATTTTTTTTTAAAGTACCCCCTTTCCCCTCCCCCTCCACCCTCCGTCCCACCCTGGCAAACCCACCATTCCTCCCCCCCCCCCCCCCCCCCCCCCCCCGAAATCATTTCTCAAAACCACGCTCAACACACAATTTTCGAGAATTAACCTGAAAGAGAGCTCGTTTCCTGTGTTTCTCGCGATGGGCTCCCCTGGATAGCGGGAATGTAATGCGACGAAGCCACTACTGACACGAGTGTACCCTTCGTGCTCGCGTAAACGAAGCACAGAGCTGGAGCATAGCCTCCTCTATACTCGCGAAGCCTGGCAGTTCGACGACGGAGCCATACAATGCCCGGTCGCAGATTTCGAGCCCGAGGATCTGGTAGCACAGAGCATCAAAGAGCTATTTCTCGGGGAACCTGGACGTCAGCGCACAACTTTCTCAGCGGCGAGGACCCGAAACACACTTGTTCACTCGGGAGAAGTGTGTTTCGGCGTCTCGCCGTAGCGGGGCGCTAGTCACGTGGCTCTCCTCTCATTCGTTGTCTGCCGCTCCACCTTTTTCCATTTCGGCGGCCGCTTGTCTGCCAGGCTTTGTCAGTAGTCAGTATATAAGGAGGCTATGGCTGGAGTCACCAAAAAAAGTGAGAACGTCAGGGCGTGCCTTCCGCCGTGCTTTGTCTGCGCGCCTGCGCCCGAGGTGCAAGAGACGCCGAAGCACTGTCGAGGGTATACGCGAAGCTCGCGCTGGAGGCGGGACACCAGAAACTTCTCCCGATTTATTGTCCCAAGCCCTGCCCGCTCCGATCTACGAGCATCGAACCGGCCAAATTTGTTTTAAAAAAAGCCGTGAATGTTACACTTAAAGGGACAATGAAAGCAATTTCGGATATTTTTTTTTTTTTTTCGATTGAACTGGGTTTCAGGCACGTCTCAGGCCACGTTGCTCAAATTTCAGCCGAAACTTGCGCTTGCGCGCCGCGCAAATCTATTAAACAGTCGCGGTAATAATCGTGCGGGATCGACTGGAGCGACACCCAGAGGGTTGCGGGAGAAGCCAGGAGAAGCGGAGCTCACGTGACCGTTGCGGGGCCAAGAAACGCGACGTCACAAGAGACGCGTTGGCGATTGGTCGAAACGAGAGACGTGCCCTCGGTCACGTTTTGGTTCGCGATTTTTAGGAATACTGTTATAACCGTAAATAAATAAGCGTAATTGTTTTTCTCTTTGCTACGCTGGACGCGAAACGGGCAACGAGAAACTGTGGGCAAACAAAATAAAATAAAGAACACGGGGGAGGCGTCAGGTTTTGGTTTCAGATGTCGGTGTCGTGTTTACTAGGATTCTGCAAAATGGTAGTCATGCCAAATTGTGCGCTGTAGATGGTTGTCCTAACGGTCGATTGAAGACCGTTAGAACAACATTGTATTCGTTCGGGCGACGCTAGTTTTCACGTGTGGGTTGCTGTACGTGCTCTTTGACGACGAAAGAGAGGACGTCCGACTTTGGTGAAAACCAAAAATGGTGCTGTTTATTTTCTCCCTCTTGTGGAGCGTCCCCCGCGGAGGAACCGGTTCCCGAAACGGCTTGTATGCTGCCGCTTTCCCCTCGACATCTCCCCCGCGTCCCTGTCCTTCGGCAACGCGCCGCTCCCGTCTCGCCCGCGCGAAGTTGCTCACTGCTTCGGAGCCTGCGGCCGCTCGTTGCCGGCTGGGCGGTCTCCGTCGGGTGATGGCGGAGGCCGCCACAGACGTACTCCCGTTCCGGTGGTGTTAGGTCACTGAACGGCAGTTCGAACTCGCTCGCGAGAGCGGCATTGTCGTCCATGTTGACAAATCCGACAAAACGACCGCGCCACCGCTTTGGTATTACCCACCGCGGTAACCAGAGTCTCGATCTCCTAAATACTACCGATTACCGACAATTCACACTTGTCGTCACTCCCTACGTGACCTCCGTTTTCGGAGGCCCAGAAATGAGAATGGAGAGAGTTCAGTTTCGGTTTCTTTAGTTCTTTCGTAGGCACAGAAATACGCGTCGTAAATGTCTACAAAAAATTGGGCAGCATGCTAGGTTTCCAAGGAGCCTAAAACACCATTTAAAAAAAATAAAATAAAATTGTCTTCATTGTTCTTTTAAACGGTTTGTGCAGGTGAGTTATAAGGCCAGGAAGACATTATGTGGGTGGGTAATCTTTTTCAACAAGTCGGCTAATTAATTAAAATTCGTTCGTTAACTTTTAATTAGTAAAAATAGACATATAGTTCCCATTAGAACTTGCTGAGCGTTATCGAAAACCACTAAATCCGTCATTTTCAGAAAGACTTTGAGCACGTGAGAAGCGTAGTAGTGCACTAAAGTTACCACTCGTGGAGCAGGTACAAGGCCGTTGCAACTCAAGAAGGTAGGGGAGGGTAAGGCGGAACGCTGGAGAAGAAAGGGGAAACCTCCTTCTCTTTAGCGTTCCGTCTGCTTCCCGCTCCCCCCTCGCCCGCGCGATTTTTCCGTCTCTTATTTAGCCCCAGCCTTGTACTTGCTCCGACAGTGGTAACTTTAGCGCACTACTGCACTTCTCACGCGCCAAAGTCTTTCCAAGCAATACTGATTTAGGGGTTTTAGACGACGTTCAGCAAATTTCTAATTGAAACCATAAGACTATTTTCAATTTTTAAGAAGTTAATTAACAAATCTTACTTAAAGGAGCTGTGCAACGATATTCAATTGGAATGTTTTTCTCTCTACACGAGCTTACTGGCACACCTGGGACTCAAGGATACTCACACGCAACGCCACTGGCCAAGAAACTTCTTTGTTGCGGTGTAATTTCAAGGACAAAAGCGATCATTTTCATTCAATCTCTCCTTCGCAAAATTCGATGACGTAACTCGGGGATCGCAGTACACCCAAGTGACGATATTTGAATGCGGCTCATAGATTGGACCCGAGCATTGCGTGGGCACTCGACTTGGGCTCGTGACAATTGCTATCTCGAGGAGCATTCGGGTTGTAACCCGTGTCCAATCGCTGCAACGACGACAATAGCCGAGCCATAACAATGTCTGGAACTCAGCGCGTGTCCTGCGCTTTGCCAACCCCAGCGCGTGGCTGTGATCAACATTGGCGGCATATAATCGGCTCCAGATCACGTGGCCGCTTGTTCTGGCTGCGAGTTGAGGGGGTGAATGCTGCTCGTTTTTCTTAAATTTTTTTCTGGGACTTCTATTGCGTGAGGTGAAAAACGAACGCGTGTTTCATAGGTCATTAACGTTAGGGATCTGTTTTACGCGGTATTTGTGCAAAGTACAAAAATTGTTGCATTGCTCCTTTAATTCGCCGACTGTTTGTTATG